GAATAGGGATACGATGAGTCCAGCGTGTTGTTGTCGTTTGGTGTTTTTGTAGTTGTTGTTGTTGACGATATTGTTGTTACTTGTTACCCATGTTGTGACCTACTGCACAAGGAAACTGACTACCATCCCCCTTTAAGTTCCAAGAACATCAATTAGATTAGCCTAGTGGGACTCTGGTAATTCTTGGAACATGTTTCAAGGAGTTAACCTAGATTTTACTTGTAGTTTAACCTAATTACATGAATCATAGAGCTAAAACACATACCTCCACGCCTATATTGGTTTCAGATTCAATAGGCATCTAGCTTAATTGCAATAAAAAAAAAATAGGTGAATATACAACTATCATTATTATACAAACATCCTTATCTCTGACTCAATGGCCTATTTTTTGTAGGATGAATTGGGAAAACTTTTAAAGAAAAAAAAAGCCTCAATTGCTATGAGCCTTGTTTTATTCGTTTTTAAGTAACATCCCCGATTAATTATTTTATTATCTGAGTTACACGATGGTAATGCTCCCCTCCCCCTCTCCCTCTCTTCTTCCTCCCCTCCCCTCCGCTCCCCTCTCCTTTTTCTATCTCAGCATCGATATGTCTATCTCTCGATCTGATTTTATCTCTCGCATGCACTCTCTATGAATCATATCAATATGCACAACATTAATGTCAAAGATGAAGTGGGAAATACTTTTCAAAGCTAATCCACCATAATATTTTTGTGCTCTAATTTAACGCCAAATTTAGCCGCTTATTAGCAAATCCTCTAATGGATGCTTTTTTTCTTGTTCTAATCTAGTGAAGAAACTAAGAGAGAGAGTTAAAAAAGAACATGGGAAAAACAACGAAGCTCTAACTAATGTTGTGTAGAAATACAGAGTGGTTCATTTAAAGGCTCACCCGATGAAGTCGTGAAAGTGAGATATTTTTGAAACTCATACAAAGTAAATGGTTTTATTGGTTTATATACAGATATATGGCTACTTCGGACTACACAAACATACTTATTCTACTCATATTTAAAGTAGGCCTATGAGAGCTTTTTAAGAGCAAATATTCTTCACATTTTTAATTTTTTTTTAAAATAGTTGAAGCGAGATGGCGCCTTTAATTTTGATAGCATAAAGTTATACACAAAAAAAAGTTTAGGGCCAACTATACTGTTATCATCATGATGTTGTTTGGTTGTCGCAATTATATTTAGATGCAAGTATATTAGAAGTATTATCGCAAAATCATGATGTTCATATCGCGATGCCAATATTATCATTATGTTAATATCACGTTGCTAATAATATATACCACACTGTTATTATCATGATGTAAACGGGGCTATTGTTTATAACAAAAAAAGTATCATGGGCTACGCCTCACTATTATCTAAATTAAAACATGTCGTCAACAAAATAATGAGATGAGATAAACAAATCTCGAGAAAAATATTTGTCTACTCCCAAGAGTCGTAATATTGTATCTACATCTGTGACTGCGTCTATCCATACCGGATGGGAAACAAAGAAGAAAAAAAGTACATGGAACCAAGCGATGGTCATTCGAATTTTCACCCCGTTTTTCCAAGTAAAGTGTAAAATAGATTCCCGTTTTCGACCACTTCCACCATCTGATGTATTCAACATTGTCTATGTATTACTATTAAACATCATTGCGGCTAATGGTAATGACATTAAGACATTTTCTGGCTTTGGTCATATGTTTTACTTATTCCTGTATTCATGTGGTATAACCCTATGACCCGTTAAATGCATCGTACTATTTGATATTTTCTCTATACCGTTACTGCATTAAGTGAAATAAAAATGGCGACAAAAATGCGTGCGCTTTTGAATGAATGTAGGCCCATAACCAGAGAAGTATTGCTATAAAGTGTGTACGACTTTTGACCCTTAAATTTGGTTCATGACATTAGGGTTGATTTTCGAGGTTGCGCTCATTTGAAAGCCATTCCTTGAAGACAAGGAATTGTGTACAAAAACATCTGTTTGTACTCTGGAGACAGAACTGTAACAAATCTGAATAGTGAAGTAAAAGTATATCAATTTAGCTTCATTACTTCATCATTCAACGTTAACCTAGATCAGCTGAATTCCCAAAAGAAATTTTACCCAGATATGCATGACGTCATTGCTTTCATTTTCGACATAATTTGTGAGGGTTCAATAACCCGTAATGAACGAAATAGAAATCTACAAATGGGATTCCGGAAGAACTTTTTGCTAGTAGCAGGATTAAATTCATATTGTCCTTGGGTAAGACATTAGTCTACATTTGCCACTCGTCACCCAGGTACGTCAAATGGGTACCGGGTGGAAGGGACTCCTTGAATGCTATGAGAACCGAATCCGATAGCCTAGCTATCATTAGCACCTTGCGTGGTGGTGGTGGTGGAAATTCATGAAAAGATATCCAGTATTACATAGTTCAACATGTTGGAGGCGCTTTGCGCTTGTGTTACTGTTAAAAACATCAATATGAGGCTATACGAGACCCGTAAACAAATGTTTGAATGATACAAGTCGCACCACCGTCCCTCCCCAGGGTCAAAAGACAAAGGGTATGAAGGGGAGATTGCTTTAAATTACAGTGTGCAGCTTACAGGCTAAATCGCACCAAATCCAATCATGTTTAAAAAAAACAAAAACAAAAACTATTGAAATCTTAGAATTTACAAAGTGCATGGTTCCATCATGGACCTACTAGAAGTTCCATGGTTCCATCAAGAACTATTATGTCCCCTCAATATGCTGCTGTTTGGCGACTGCATCAGAAAATTGTCGAACGAAAGAAAATGGAGATGAGAAGCAATAAAAATCCATGACAAGTTCACAGGTTACGACCTGTATGCGATATTTACATCTCAAGGTCGTGGGTTAAGAAAAGGATATGGCGATCATGGTCTGGATTCGTATTGATTTCTATCACGTTTTAACATTTTGCTGTGAACTTTCATCGTGATGTCCTTCCATTGCTAAAATACGAAATGAAGCAATTTTCTCGCCCCACCCTTGTATGTTTTCCCTTTATTGCCTCACTCCTTCTACAGCCATTCACAGTCGTATTTGAAGGGGAGAGGTATTGTAAGAAAGCTGCTAGCGTTTGAATGCTTTTTTAACGAAATGGAATGGACATAGAAACTATTGAAACAGATAATTGTCATGTTTGTCGTCGACTTGTTGTCGACGTCGTCGTTGATGTTTTTTTCTTTCTGTTTTTCTGTCTAGGAATGTAATCTCGCATTCCGCTTCCTTAGACAGAGCTCTGTATGATACAAACAGTCGTTTCTTCATTTCTTCATTTTTCTTGTGTACTTTTTCTTTAAACTTTGTCAGATACCCTTCTTATATAGGCCTGTATTTACAATTCGTTACGTTACAGTATATGATTTACACTGAAGGAAGTTTTTAATAATATGTTATATGTACACATCAACAACAACAACAGCAAAAGCAGCAGCAACAATAGCAGAGATAATAAAGGGTTATATAACCACAACAATCCCTGTTTTTTGTATTCTTTTTTTTTTTCGTCGCTTTTTTCACGTCCTAAACACATGATCCCACCAATCTCTCCGCTTCAGATTTTCATTCTCCATTCTCGTGTGCCTAAACGGTGCTTATTATTTAACTCGAATCTTACTTATGTTGTAGGATTTAGTTTCCTTCAGTATTTGTATTCATGGTAACACCCGTTTTCTTCCATACGATTTGACAAATCTCTCGTGTGGCAGTCTGAAATTTCATCATGTCTTGGAAAGCGCAGCGAACCACAATGAAAGAACAATGAAAGTTTTATGCAATGGATTGTTTGTATGTGGTGTTGCCCTAAAATTGCGCAAGGTATTAAATCAAATTACTCGACAGGGATTAAATTTGGAATACTTCCCATGAAACATTAGATAAAGTTACACATTCTACCCGAGTACTAGCTCGTGTTAGCATGGACAACTTTCTCAACAGTACAAAAATCGAAGATGGCTTCCCACAAGCTCAAACCACCCGATCCACGGACCAAGGATTGCTGTAAATCCCAAAGGTTTCGGAAAATGTTTAGTTTGGAATGCAATACATCATCAACAATAATATTTTTCGACTTTACCTTTGGATCCAGCTTATGTGTCGCGAATTTCATCACCTTCTCTCTCGGCTCGTTTTTCAGGGAAGGTCGAACAAAATATGAGAGAATTTTTTTTTTTACTCCCACTCGTTTGGATTGACAGCAGGAAATGCATTTATGAGATATATCACGATAACCGAATTTGTGCGTGTGCTTATTTCTGAGGTATATAGCCTCAGGAGAGTCTAGACGTAATACTAAGCAGTTATCTTATTATGTCTTGAAAGTCAAGCCAAGGAGAGTAATGATGTTGAAACTTTTTTATGCAAGAAGAAAGTAGGAGAGGAAGACAATAACTGATTCTAGTCATTTTTTAGCGAGAAAAGTAATATTTGATCATTCTTTCTGGCAAGTATTCAAACCTAAGCAAGCGAAATATTTAGAGTCATATTTCTCGTGACAAAAAAGAAAGAAGTGATTTTCAAAGTTTATCGGATGCAGCTCCGTACCGGACCGGTTCTATTTTTGTCTATGGCTCTCCTCGTTATCCAAATTATGATATATTTGCGAGTAGAAATTTATATATGTGATATCTTCAGCTTAATAAAGATCAAGAGTTCCTTTACTTCCTAACATGATATGAACCTATCCCAAATATTGGCGTTTTATTAATTGAAATAGTGTTGTTGATAATGTCGGAGGTAAAGATTTTGCAGTGAGTTTATATATTAAATGTTTAAATTTCAAACGTACGAGTTGTTTGTTCATTGAAATTCATATGATAAAGGATAGGCCTAGTATAATATTTTGGTCTGATGCAGTTGATGATGTGTTTTGCTAGTATATTTGCTACCATATTTTGTTTTTTTTGTTCCAACATTTGTCAATACAATAATCAATGGCATGTTTCCATGTTTTTTCTCTTTGCAGAGGTTGGCCAGTTAATATACTTACAGATCGAAATCGTCCTTCATCGGGAGGAGAGTTTATTCGTCACCTAGCAACTAATCACCCCTAGCAACAAGATGATGCGGTCATCTTTACTTGTGCTCCTGGCGTGTCTGTCGACCGTCGTAGTCGCTCAGTCGAATGTTATCAATGGGTAAGCCAAGCATTTAACATAGCATTGAATATCACTAATCCATAATTAACATATGTTTAATTCAGTACTGCTTTGATTAATTGCTAATAAGTGCCTGCATACTTCGTATTTCAAATCCTAGACTTATTTTAGAACGAAGAGATTCATTATCCACTCGGGACATGATTCAACTTCCAACTGAAGAAGTAAACATTGATCGTGGCGTATCCATCATAGAGCGGAGCAGAAATACGCCCCGCCTGCAAGGCAGTGGGTCTAACGGCATGTTGGGGGGCACTGTCACCCCTTTTCAATCAACAACAGACTGTATGTGCCATCTATTTCAGTCTTTTGCCTTTAATACCCTGATACAGGAGATGGTTGAAAAGAAACTAATATTAAAAGAAGGTACATGCATGTATGTAAAACGACAATGAAACAGTATAAAGCGGAGCTGACATCCCCACCCCACCTGCCCCCATTCCATTGGCTGCAAGGCGATTGGTCTAATGGCGTATGATGATCTGTCCCCTCCCATTTTAGCCAGGTGCAGTATACGCCTTCGAATTCAGAACCTTCCTTTTCGGGAAATAGTCGAAAAAAGATACATGCATGTATGTACAACTTGAAACAACGGGTTCTTTTATGTAATGATATACTTTTTCCCCAAGTAACTTTAGCTTTTTTCTATCCATCTTGTCTAGATTAAGACAGGGAAAGTTTGCCGATGGGTTTGTTCTAAATTTGTACCAGGCCAGCATTGAATTAAAACAAAACACAGTCGTCTCCTACAAATTTTGTTTCCAAGGGCGAGTATCAAAGGAAACAAAGCCGTGACATTCGTGTCAACCCCAATCCAAGTTTGACATGCATCATCCATGTGAAAACGTTCAAAGACACCTGTTGGGTAATTTTACAGAGACCTGGCGTGATTATGAATTTACATTTGTCAACATCGATGAAAGTAAGTCATCAATCTGCTCAAACAATTTTGTGGTTGATTTTCTAATAATTCTGCTGATCCTGTTTACATAAGAAGGATGACGAGGAATCGACTACGCTAAGATCAGTCACACTCATCGGGATTGGGTAACCAGGGGCAGGGGAATCCCCCACCCCCCCCCCCCGATATGTAGAGAATTTGTCGGGCCATTTTTTCTTCTTCAATTATTACGGGAATTTGTTTAAATGCCAGCTTATTTTTATTCTTATTAACTTTTTGGGCACGTAAATTGCCCCAATTCCACCCTCCTCAACACTCCATTGGGAAAAAGCTAGATGTACTCTCATTCCCACCCTCCTCAACACTCCATTGTGAAAAAGCTAGATGTATATTATACTCTAAAAAAACACCAAAAAAAACGATGTCCCATAGCCCAACTTTCTCCCTTTGTGAAACATTCCACCTCGACTTTTAGCTCTTGTTAAATTCTTTGAAAAATACATTCTAGTACTGTTCGATGTTCGATGATACCAATTATTAGGACCTACTAAAGTGTAGTCTAGTTTTTATTAAGGCCTTAAAATATTTTTAGAGCGGTTGCCAAACATTTCCCTATTTTACTGAAATTGTATATTATGATAAGAGCGCCGTATTTATTTTAACAGCTACAATGAATAGCACAACATTTGAATTACTAATTTTTTTTTTTTAATGGTCAGTTTTTATTCTTTTCTCTCTTGAAACAAATTATAATCATAGTACAAGTTACAATCATCATATGTAACGCTCACTGCAAATGTGATGACATTATAAATCAGTATAAATTTTTGTCTTACAAACGGCTTCAAAGAAAACTTACATAGTTAGTTCCTATACATCATATTCGACACAAAAATTCATATTTTCAAAGAAAACATATGCAGTTATATAATCCAAAATTTGTGTTTTAACAATGTAGCAACTTATACTTCTTTTATACTGTTGTCCTGAGAAAAAAGTTTTCTCTTTTTGTTAACTCTACCCTACCCGACCTCTCCCTTATCCCCCTCCCCCCCCCCCCCCTCTTAACCGGTGGACGACTGGCTCTGGGTTCCAATTGTTTGTCTAATACTCAGGTTTTCCCATTTAGAAAAATGAATAGTGAGAGTTCCCCTCATTGCTGCCAATTTCCTTTCTTCTACTTTATCCCCTATTATACTATTCTTTATTTCATTAAAAGAGGGTGGTTTTTTAAGTTCTCTATTTCTATAAATCAGATATTTAACAAGAATTAAAACATGATTCATTACTTGATATTTTCCTTTATTACTCTCCTCTTTCCCATACAGAATTTCCTCCAAACTACAGTTATGTATTTCAAAGTCTAAAAATCTCGTGCACATTCCCCACACTGATTGTGCAAATTCACAAGTATAGAATAAATGTTTATATGTTTCTTCATCTTTTTCGCAAAATGAGCATAACTTAGTCGAGACAAGACCAAAACGGAAGAGGTGATGGTTTGTATATAATATATTATGTATAAGTTTGAACTGAAACTCTCTTAATCGACTGTTAAGTGTACACTGTCTTAGTCTTAAAAATATGTTTTCTATTTCCTTACAGGAAAAACCATAGTTCCTTCCAATTCTCTCAAAAACCAAAGGTTTAACATCATCTTTCTTTATTAATTGTACATAAATTTGTTTTGATTTTAGATCAGCTATATTAGTTGTTTTCTTCCCCAAAGTGAAATCAGTTCCAGAATTATTTTTTTCTTCTCCCTTTCTAAAATTATTTTTCCAACAAACTGGTAAACAGGCATAAAAGTGCTTGATCTTTTCAATTTCATTTACTTCAACACCTAAATCGATAAAATGCCTGTCACATTTTAGTTTACCATCGTTTTCCAGAATATGTTTTAATTTGTAAATTCCTTTGTCATACAACCTCTTATCGTATATACAACTTCCTTTATATCGAATAAGTTTATTATTAAAAATTACCACATCACCAATGTCTATACTCCTTATATGTCTTGTATTCACCCAATCTTCTAATAAATCCATATAAAATTGTGGAGCTGTCACTTTTAATAAACTTGGTATATAGTCACATGAAAATATCAAATCTCCACCCACGTGTTCAGTGACAAAGTTAAAATATTGTTTCCATTTCATGTCTTCATCTTTGTTTAGAAGTTTTTGAATCCACATAATTCGCTGCGATTTAACTTGTGCAGAAAAATTTAACATCTTTAACCCCCCTTGCTTATAGTCTAAGAACATGGTGTTTCTATTGATTTTATCTGTTTTTCCTTTCCATATGAAATCAAAAGTTAATTCATCCAGTGAATCATAAACCCATTTTGGAACAGGAGTAAGTGACGCCCGATAAAGAACTTTAGAATAAATGTGCACCTTCAATAGTTGAATCTTACCCATAAGTGTTAAATCTCTTTGCTTCCAAAAATTTAAAAGTGTTTTTATTTTACTTAAGATTTCTTTATAATTTAGATCTTCTTTCTTGTGTTCATCGAGGGAAAAGAAAATCCCTAAAACCTTAAGAAAGTCAACTATTTCGCCAAAAGCGAAATCACAATCTAAACGTTGACATAAACCTAACCTTAATATTTTAGTCTTGTCGTTGTTTATTTTCAGTCCAGAAATTTTTTCGAAATCTGCAAATAATACTTTTAACCTATTAATTGATTTTTTTATTGCGAACAAAAATTGTCATATCATCCGCATAAGTTACTAGTTTAATTTCCTTATCTCCAAAATTAATTCCGTCCACCAAATTATCTATTCGTAATTTGTGTGCCATTACTTCAATACACAAGATAAAGAGGTACGGAGAAAGAGGGTCTCCCTGTCTTACTCCCCTTTCTACTTTGAAATAACCAGTGGACCCTCCTTCAGTTAATACACAACTTAGAGTGTTCATGTATAAAACTTTAACCCACTTTTGAAAGGATGGACCGAAACCAAATGACGACAGAACTTTTTGAAGAAATTGATGTGAAATTGAGTCAAAAGCTTTTTCGAAGTCTATAGCTAACAAAAAACCAGATAAATTGTAACGGGATGTATGAAAAATAATATCATCTATAATGCGAATGGCCTCACCAATATTCCTCCCTTTCATGTAGCCCACCTGATCTCCCATAATGATCTCATTTAATACTTTCTTGATTCGCTTAGCCAAAATTTTTGTTAAAATTTTATAATCGACATTAAGAAGGGAAATGGGTCTATAATTTTTCAGTAAAAAGGGATCTTTCCCATCTTTAGCGATTAACGTAATTACAGCTTGTTTTTGAGACGATGCTAATTCTCCTAATCTATATGCTTCATTTAAGGCATCTTTAACTAAATCTCCAATATCCGGCCAAAAGGTACGATAAAATTCTGAAGAAAAACCGTCATTTCCAGGTGATTTGTTCTGTTTTAATTCTTGTAAGATTTCTAGGCATTCTTTATTACTTATAGATCCTTCACAGTTTTCTCGAGATTTTTCAGTCAATTTCGGTAAACCTTGAAAGAAACTATTATAACAATTATCCGAGCACTCGTACTCTACTTTACTGTACAACATGCTGTAAAACTTCCGGATTTCTTCAGTTATCCTTTTTTCATCGCAGCAAATAGCACCATCTGAGGTTTTAATTTTGTTAATAGTACTAATGATAATGGGAATCGATCCTGGCCGAAAAAAAAAATTATTGAGAAGAACGCGAGCTACCAAGTAGACATCCTTGGAAAGTACAGTAAATTTGATCATATCAGATGAATTGTAATAAAATTGTCTTTCCCTTCTCTTGTATTAATTGTATCTGATAGTGTAATAAAGGCTCTATCATAATCTTTGGTCCATGGACAGAAATTCCAGGAGGAAGTGCTCAAATGAAAATGGCAACCAGATTGACCAGAAGGTTTGGTATAAACTACCTCCTTGGCATCAATTAGTCCGATCAGGTCGTCTGTCTGGACCATGGCCTTCTGAAACTATCCCATTTAATAAAGTTTCCCTGTTAGATTCAGAAGGAAAATTAGAGCAACTCGTTGACCTATTGAACGTAACCTTCCTGGAATAATTGCCCTACTTTGCGTGAGAAAAGTTTGATTTGCACGCATAAGAATCATAATTCGAGCATCTGATACGTTTGTTTCTGTAAAAAAAAGCCCCGTTTCTTAATTAACAAGATAATTACTACAAACAAACTCGCCAAGTTCCAACAATGGTAATCATAGCTTTTTCTCGATTGAGTCACGTAACGTGTGATCATAACAAATTGGTGTCACGACCTGTTGGAGAAGTAGAAGACAGTAATCGTTTTCAACACGTCGCACTAGTTGCCTGTCTTTTGTGTTTACTTCCACTGAATGTTGTTGTTCTGCCTTTTCCAAGCAACATGGAATGTCGTGGAATGTAGGAACAACTACAGGTACTCCTCGATGGCGTATTCATCATAATATGAAATGAGGGTGTGCCCCCCCCCAAAAAAAAAGAGAGAAAAGTTGAAGGCCTGTGTAAAAATCATTGTAAATTGATATAATTTATGAGTCAAGAATACGCAAGGATGCACAGGTGCAGGTTTTCCATGATCCGTCAGAGCCATCTTGGCCAACTTGGTTTCACTGTGTCACAAACATGGCGTATATTCTATTGTTTTGTGCTTGCCCCAAAAAGCAGTAGTCGCAATAATGTGTCCATCTCAAACCGGGTTGGTTGGCCAAATTATGTGTACAAATGGCTCTGGATCCCATCCCCCAACACTGCCGCCATCGGGAGGAATATATCCCCCAATGGCGTGTAACACGTTCTTTTAAATATGCCAATTTCCCCAATTTCGCTAAGCCCGTGCTTTGTTTCGAAACCGAATGCTGCATAGATGGTTATCATCATGATCATACATATCTACTCCAATTCAGAAATGAATAGAAAAATCTTTGCCTGGAGTTCGTTAGCCCTCCCCCCCCCCCCCACTACCACCACCATGCACACCACCCAGCCTGGATTCTGAAATTTTGGTGACGACAATCAATGCAGACATACATTTTGTTAATAGGAGGAACGGAATGACAACCATACACCATCTTTATGATCTAATGAGATATCACCTGAATGTGCCATTAAATTACTACAGCAATACATCATTTTTAAAAGTATTATTCTGTTATTTCGTTTGTATCAACCATAAACCTCCTATACAACAGACTTATTCGACTTATTCTGTATTCGTTATCCTGACCAAAACTACTGCAATAGTACTGACTCTCTATATAGTGATATGGGAGACGAAATACATGTAGTGTAAAGCATTTTAGACTCTTCAACTCTCCATCATCTCTTTTCCATGTACTCACTCTGGAATCACATATGACCTTCGACTTCAGGACATATTTTTTGCCTTCGACCTCGAAAGATATTGTCAGGCATGATAAAATGTGGCTCCGTGTACATGTAGTTCAGCACAAGTTATAGGGCCTACAATCCTGCATATACATGTAGTACAAGTAAGGTCTTTGACGAGAGTTGTTAAGGTAGCAGAGCTACCCTTGAACTTTTTGAAAGATTTATCTCTTCGGTAATGGTTTCTGCAGTAATTTACAGTCGAAACACGAGCTTGTGGTGTCTAGAGCCGTAGAGACAAGACTAGTTATAATAGTAGCGTATTAGGGAGAAGAAAAAAAAAGAATGTTCAACAAAGTTATGCTCGACGTAACTTTGAAACAAACACCTGCACCTTTAACGAATGACCCTTTTCGTTTCACGAAATAAATCCCATTTCTTGGCGTAAATGTTAGATCCCAAGAGGAAAGACAGGGGAGAAAAAAATATATAAAGGAAAGTAAATTATAAGAACTTGCTGAAGATACCTTTTGCATTTTTATAATGATACCATTTATAATATACATATAAAATAAAATACTTAACTTATATCGGGCCAAGTCTAAGACAAAGAAAAGGATTATGTGAAATAAAGTTAACCTGGCCCTTTCTTCTATTTTGGTACTTGCATAAGATCCAGTTCATATTGTGCTCTTTGCGAAGTAACGACTATTCTTCTAAGCGAAAATTATTTTGTCTTCGTAAAAGGAAAGAAAGTTAGAGAGAAGAGGTCTTTTCCCCCCTTATGACTGACATTTTCGGCATACCAGGATAGAATGTCAACCAAATCCCAAAGATCATCAAAGCCATTTCCGATCTATCAACAGATCTAGGAGTGGAGGGCCCCTAAGAGGTTACCCACCAAGAAATTGGAGAGATATATCCACGAATACGAATATCACATGAAAACGTTTGAAGTACATCCTTACTCAATGAAATAACTATATGAGCGAAAATGCGAAAGGTCTTTTCTCTCTCTTTTTTCTAATCAACAGAAAACTTCATCTTTTTTTCCTACAGAAGACTTTAAGTATATAATTCAGATAATATTCAGTACATGTCTTCCCCATCAGTCTGTGTTATAGAAGATAGGTTTGTTCAGCCGAATATTATCTAGCCTATTTCTCAATCCTGTCTCAATGCTCAGGCTCAGGACGGATCCAACATGACCAATTTCCCCCGATAATATTTCCCCCTCATAATTATGATTAAGGAAGTCATGCTAGCCCCCCCCCCCCACCCCCCACCATCAGTCAATATTTTCCCCTCCCTCGGTCGGTCTCTTTCTATACTCTGCATGGGCCTAGATGTGTGACTTAAATTAACATTCTGTTAATGTTGAATTATATGATATTGCCTAACAATATTCCTTCTCAATATACCCCAGTTCATATTTTGGGGGCACAAAATAATCATACCAGAGCGCTACATAATAGGCCGACAGATTTGCCCGGGGTAATAATGTTGGAGTGCCTGGAGCCCTAATAAAGCCACCATTAGTATTATTATTAATTATTTACCTTTCTTTTTGTGTGTAATTACAGCCCGAATGTTTGTGGTATGAGATTCTATTCATATTGTTGCCCTGGATGGCGCCTTCATCCAAGAACGAAACAGTGTGTGGTCCGTAAGTATTATCTGTTTTCGTCAGTATTTCATCAACTTAATTTAAATCAAAAGTTCCTAAGATGATAAAAAAAAAAAATAGCAAATCGTGAATAATAATAGTGGGCATTATATTTGTAAAACTAAAACATGATAAAATATTATCCTTCCTTAATATGCCTAAATTGTAATCCGAACCATTATGCTCCAGTCTAACGTTCAGTATCTTCAAGGCTTTATACGCATCGGCATGCTAACAAAAGAAGAGGGATACGATAGACATTCAATTCAGTCAATTTATCCATTTTTACTTAGGTTAATATGTTTTTAAAGGTAGCCAAAAGGTGTAATTCAATATTGAACCCTGGGTTTTAAATGATAATACACAGAGTCAGTGAGCTCCAACCACGAGCTGAAATGATGTGAAAACAGTGGAATACTGTGCAGGAGGTTCACGTTTCCTGTGTTACTGAAACTGATACAGACTGTTATTTTGTTGACTTCATCAATCGAAACTTAAATTCTAACTTGTTTGATTTGTAGCTGTTTGCAATCGTCCATGCGGGTCGGGTTACTGTCAGCGTCCAAACTCCTGCTCCTGTCCGGGTGGACAGATCTCAGTCAGTGGATGCGATGGCTACTCTGGTAAGTAGAGAAATTACCAAGCAACTTGCTCGATTCTCCTTCCAATTTTATCATCAAGGATGCCATCGCAGTGCTTAATAGTTCAGACATAGGCCTATGAGGGTGGTACATTATGATTCAACGAAATGTTAAACAGAAAGGACATCAAAGAAAATGAATATTGCAAACTGGATTTTGAGAGAAATCTAATATTTTAATGGTAATTCATATACGCCCAGGACAATGGTTTTGTGGACAATTTGCCGGCTAATTTCACCAGTGTTTGGATCCAGAAGTCCAGAGAACTGTTTTTCATTTGTTAAGCTCCGTATTCACAAGTAGAATGCCTATTATCTTGAAAAATGAAGAAAGAAAAAGAAATCTACAAAAACTATTTAGAGAAATCTACCTTTGATAAAAAATAATTGTGCCAAAGACTCCTACATTATTTACCCGTCGATCGAATGATCGATAGCTTTCCGATATGCCGTCTGCTTCTGGAAAACGTCAACTAAAGGCAAAGACGTAAAGTGTAATTGTTTTCATTTTCACAGTCGCAAGTAGATTCAATTTACATGTTTCTTTGTTTCTTGCATTACTCTTGTAACTTGCTATTTGCGTAATGTTTTATAAAGATGAAATTTCTATCTGCATTGAGGTATAAAAATCAAAATTCATGTCATCTTGTACAAGATGGTTCTAGTACGTGCCCACTTGTAGAATTTTATGTTTTAAAATGTTAAGTGGTTTAGGTAGGGGTCTATTCTAGATCTATATCTGGTCCCGGATCTGGTCTTTAGTTTACAGCTACGCTATTTAAAATACACATTACACAATAACAAGAATGATGATGATGAAGATTTTTACCATGTTGTGATGATGAATTATGATATCGGGTTGATGATAGAGTCAACTGGAGCTGGCTGGTTGACAACTTGATGTCAAACTCAAGGTCAGAAAAAGGAGAGAGAAGATGAAGAAGAGGAGAAGAAGATTATGGTGAATAATAAAATAGTCTTATCTACCGTAACACTGCATCAACTTTAACACATATTATCAGAATATGTTTACTCTAAAATCTAAATACCAGTGAAATACCAGTGAGGAGGCGAGTTGGCTCAGTCGGTAAAGCGTCTGCCTGTCGAACCAAAGATCCCGGGTTCGACTCCCACCCAGGCGGATGACTGAAGCCTGCGTTGTGTGTTAACGTGCCGGTTATGTAGGTTATGCAGGTTATGTCAAGTGGAAACTGGAAAACACTCCATCCCTCGGATAGGACGTTAAATGGTGGCCCCGTGTACAGGAGAGTCACCACCCTTGCACGTTAAGAACCCATTGCACTATTCGTGTAAGAGTAGGGGGAAACCCCGGTGTAATGGTCCACCTGCATACCCCAACCAGGCCGAGTATACGGCATCTGCAAGAATCTTCAGTATTGAAGGAGGCAGATTATCTTGAAGAAGAAGAAGAAGAAGAAGAAGAAGAAGAAGAATAGATATTGTAAAATTATAAAAAGGAAGTATGAAATTTAACTTTATGAATCATTGTAGGTGGAAACCCATGTACTACGCAGTGTTTAAATGGAGGGTCTTGTCAAGGGAACTCCTGCAACTGTCCCAATGGATTCTCGGGAACTAATTGTGGCATGCGTAAGTTTAATGCATGACCATGACTCTGAATGTTCAATACCAAAACTTGTTTATATAAACGCATATGGGGTAAATGTTGGTAGATCTCAGATGAATGAAGGAAACAGACATTTTGAAAGAAAAGTGACCAACCTTTGTTGCATTGAAATATATTTAAGGGTATTCTCCTCTCACAGAAAGTTAAATGCTTTCTGCTATTTAAGAAAACATCAAAAGTACAATTTTGCTCGAAAATATGAATTCAACCTTTTTGATGCCATAATCACTATTTGGAAATAACCAACAGTTGGAAATAACCAACAGAGGTTTGCATGGTTCATACAAAGAAAGTACATTTAGATTACCAGTAGACATCTTTAAAGCAATTTAGATAATGCACTTTCCATTTTCCAGTCAGAATCACATTGGTATGAAATGATTGGAGCCAAGTTCATTATCTTTGCTATGACTATGAAGCAAGAGCTCTGTAAACTCTTTTGTCCTGTTTAATGCAGATTATGAGATTTGATACTCAGCCCATGTGCAATGGAGGGCTATTGATGACAGGAAACTATTAAAAGTGGTAGTGGGTATATCCTTCACTTGTCTGTTACCGGTCTTTGTTTTTGTTATGTCTCAGCCACGTGCAATCCGCCCTGCCAGAATGGGGGTGAGTGCAGCGGAGGAAACAGGTGTTCATGCCCTCCCGGTTTTGGTGGGAGTCAATGCCAGACAGGTAAGAATTATAATCTCTGTATATTTAAAGGTGACATAAAGTTTTAGTAGCGATTAGGAGAATTGAATGAAATCAAAGTTGTTGAATATGGCTTTAATTTCATTCTATATGTATCGAGAGCTCTGACAGCTTACTGTGTTTTTGCATTCTTTCCACAGGAACAATAACAACAACATCATGAAGAAAAATAATCACTTACCTACATGTAGATTGACTGAGTAATAGTTATTGAATATCAATCAGTCAATGAATAGATAATATTGCTGTTTTTAAAATTTATCACAATTATAATTTTCTAATCATGGGCATGTTTTCCAGAGCCTGTAAATACTAGAATTTCCACCAAGTTTTCTACACAACATATTTTGTCCCAAGGAAAATAGGAAAAACAAATATAAGGTGGAAATTTAAAAGCTTGCCTGATATAAATATTCTGATGATGAGGCAGTATACACCAAGGTTTGTTTATGTTTCAGTTCTTGTTAAGTTTTCGGCCAGTATCCTTGTCTGTGTCCAGCGTTATGCAGGGCTAGGTCTTTGTGCTGTTTTGTACTAAACATGTTTAGTCAATAGTGCACATTCTGTTTCTTTCCTTTTGCTTCACTATCTTTTGTAAACACACTAATGATATGCATGGAAATTAAGGGAAGTTGTGAATGTTTTGGGAGTGTATGAAATCATTTTGTCAGTTATTGTATAGGCCTTTGGAATGTCTGAGAAGCTTCTATGAAAGGAGTGAATTACAAAAATATATTTATGTACTGGTATGTGTTTTCAGATTTGTTTCCTTTTATTTTTGTATGTCCATCATTATTTTGTTTTAATTTATTTTTTATTTTTTATTTATTCATTTATTTTATTCATTTGTTTTTATTATCGTGCAAACCTGATCTTTCTGTTGATTCTTATATTGAACATATCTTCTTTCTATAACCACAAATAAGAATGTAAACTTGAAATTTTAGTGCTGTTTACCAGTATCTGCAGGATGTATTGGTTTGCATTGTTTCTCTATCTTGTTCTCTCTTTCCGCTTTCATGGATGACTCTACATGATTGTTTCCTATGAGTGTCCTCTCCGCCATATGTGTCATCATTATTTATTTAATGACTATTCCATAACGTAGGAATAGCTACCAACCTTTCTGGGGGACCAGTTAGTAAAACGGCAATGAAATGAATACTGAGTGACAGCCACCTTGCCCCTGTGCCCCTTCCAACTAAATCAATTTATACTGAATTCCCCTCGATAGGAATGTTCACACTTCATTTCTCTTGTTGGGGTTTGAGATGTTTCCCAAAAGTTGCTCAAGAATTCCATCTTATTTTATTCAGTCACAAATAAACATTGTTGATAGTCTGTAGTTTGATATGTTATGTACATGTAAGGAATCTGCCCCCTATAAAGTTGTTATGGTTTGAAATGATTGAGAAAGTCCAGCTGATATCTGGGCCTTTCTTATGTGTTTAGCTGGCATTCACATAAGGGAGACTAACCCACAACACAAGCACACACACAAATCTAAAGGTAACATAAAGAATTTATTTGAACACTTTATGTTTTAAATGAATGCTATATGTTTCATTTATATTTCTTACCTGAGCAATGATATGAATAATTGGAATTTCCCCTTTTCAGTCTGTTCAGTCTGTTCAACACTGGTGAAGAAGGTATTACCCTTTTTTTTGCCCGCAGAAGTGATAAATTAACATGTTGCCTATGGAAATCAGATTTCCCCTGTACACAGTTTATGGGAATAAGAGAAATCAGGAGTCAGTTGGTTAAGATCGGGTTCAAGCATGCTACTTTGTTTACAATGTGAACATGTTTTCTGAGTAAGACATCCACTGGTTTCCCCATCAAAAGCTCAATGCAAGTTTTAATGTGATGTTATTATCCAACTGCACCAGCTGTTTAATACATCTAGCCTAAAGGGAGAATGGACAAGTGTAACAGAGTTGGCTTTGATCCTAGTTGTTAGAACCTCTGTTATGTGTACACACAATACAGGCCTACACTCTCCGACAAGGTTTCAACAAAGGCTACCTTCACCGAATGATTAATGAATGAGAGTTGTGCTTTTACCTTGGGCCTCTTTCCTTCAATTTTCTTCTCGATTTCCATTGGGATTTTGTGCTACAGTGCTCAAAAATAGTTTGTGTATTCTCCCTTATCTCTCTCTATCTCTCTCTATCTTGCTCTCTCTCTCTCTCTCTCTCTCTCTCTCTCTCTCTCTCTCTCTCTCTCTCTCTCTCTCTCTCTTCCCCTTCTACCTCTCTCTTCTTTTCTTTATCATCTTCTAGGAACTAGGTTAGAGTTAAAGTTAGAGTTAAAGTTAGAGTAAATGTAGTTCTTTTGCAGTGGCCTTGAGCAGTGCCCTGGGATGGATATATATGCATTTAAATAATGTAGCTGTTATTATTTTTTTAGGATTGTTTGTATAACACTCAATAGTAATACTACTATTTCCAAGTGCTTTACATTGAATCATTGTCCTTCTCCATATCTCTTTCCTAGACTACAGGACAGGCGTGTGCTACCTCCAATCAACAAGCAATGGCTACTGTTCTGCCGGAGTAGAAGGCTTGCATTGCACCAAGGCATTATGCTGTGCTACCATCGGCCAGGGATGGGGGGACCCATGTGAAAACTGTGATACCTTTGATAATCCATGCGACAGGGGTTATATTCTCAATGGACGAACTGGACAGTGCATTGGTGGGTGAAAATATGCATTTGGGAATATTAAGTTGTAAATAAATAAATAAATCAAATCAAATAGCTGCATGTGATGATGAAGATGTTTTAAGCTCTTTGTTGTTTATTGTTTTAAGAGCCTATGTATCCATTTCATGGTCTTAAAATACTGCAAATTAAATGATTGTCACATTTTTTATAGAATTGCTTATCATTACTATAAATTACCCAATCATTTAATATCATTCACAAATCTTTATATGTTGATATACGGATAAAATAGCCTTGATATTTCCCAAAATAACTATTTGTGTAAATTGGCTCAATGGTGATCAGCAATTCTAAGAGGGAATATAGAATGGAATACATGGTAAATTTCCCTCTTAGTTTGCTGATGAATGCCTGATATTTTAGGTTAACTTTTTCGTAATTCATCAGAGAATTTTTTCCTCTATTAAACTTGTTGAATATCTTTTGATTTTGGTATGACACACAATTTGCATAGAGCTCAGCCAGACATATTTTGTGCACCACAGTGCAAGCAAATCATATGCCTAATTTCATCTCCTAGAATACCGGTATGAACATCCCATGAAGCAACATTTCTCTTCAAAGGGATAGGGTAACTTTGTCTCAGATTCTGAAACTGCCATGCTGCCATAATAATTGTAAACCTTTAGGTCAGTCAGGAACCCCATGCCTTTTACAAGCCGATCGCCTGTCTGATTATCAAGATATTTATGATTAAAAATCAAAATCAAATTTGCGTTTTCCTAATGGTTTTCATAACACCACAGTCTATCGGGGAAAACAAGTATTGTAAAACCGGTCACTCACAGATTTTTACTTTTTTGAGGCACTTCTTGATTATTTTGAAGCGCAATTTTTTAGGGCTTCAATATTACACCATATCACAGACACTGATAACACGAAGGGCCATGCATCTCAGATTTAACATTGTTAGTCAATGCCTTTAATTACCAAAGAGCTTTCCTTTTAATTTCATCATCTTCTAGATGCTGATGAATGCTTGATGATCCCAGGTCTCTGTGATGGAGGTCAATGCACTAACACCCAAGGGTCATACGCCTGCCAGTGTCCCGCAGGCTTTGAACTGAGTATGAGTACTCTATCGTGTGTAGGTAAGGCAATATCATCCATTTCCTCATACCTCACCGTCTTCCTCTCTTGGGAGTTAGGGATGTGCTCATCGTTGATCCAAAGGGTGTTGCTCTGGAATTTAACATTTAGAAGTCATCATGTGATTGTTTTCATGTGGATGTCATCAACCTCTAAACCCCATCTTGTTCACAACTCTAATAGTTGCCAGTTTACGTTTAACCTTAAAAGTTATTGTTATAAAAATTTGATTCATATTCTGAAAGAGAAATACAAATAAATTGTAGTTTAGTTGGCCCTCTATTAACATCTTTAGAGTGTGTAGGCCTATATATTTTACATTCAAGCTAGCATGCATACATCCAGACGTGTACGCAGGGGAGGGGGGATTTTGGGGGTAAACTCCCCCCCCCCCCTCCCTCAAATTTGTTTGATTGTAAAAATTTTAAAAAATGTGTACCCTGTACCCTCCCCCCCCCCCATTCAGCGGCTGGCTGAGTCGTTGCTAAATTTGTGGCACCCCCCCCCCCCCCTGCTTATTCAGCGGCTGGCTGAGTCGTTGCAAAATTTCCGGCATATTTTTAAATTTTAAAACGATTTAAATTGATGGTTGTTTTTTAACACATATTCTTTTTCATTCGATAATTGATGGTTGTTTCTAAAAACAGTTATTCTTTTTCATTGGAAGACATGAATGAATGTCAGACAGGTTACCTATGTCAGAATGGACGCTGCATCAACACACAGGGGAGCTTCAGATGTGATTGTAATCCGGGATATTTCTTGGGTCAAGATGGTCATCACTGCACCGATATTGACACCCCAAACAGTGAGTATATTATATATTATCCAGTGGAATAGGAGCTATATAGAATGCTAGTATAACTTTTGTGACTGGAAACTTTCAAAAATCATTAACAATAGCCTTCTTTTTAAACGGCAATAATCTTCTCCAAATTATTGATGAAAAATTGATGTTGTAAATTCAATCTTTTCAAAGTGCAAATTCTCCTTGATTCTTGAGTCTTCTAGATCACTCACAGATTGTGAAGTTATGGTTTTGAAAAGTACTTAAATACTGCTGTGTTATTGTTATCCCTTACAGTCATTGTTAATCTCATCGTGAATTAAATTTTCGGCCTCTGTTTGAGGTCAGTCCAAGGCTCTTAGGTTTGACATTGTGGGATATTAACTTTGAGGGTTTGAGGTTGTTGTTCATTGGTTCAGTGATTGATGTTCCTGAACTTGTGAAGTGCAATTTATTTGCTTTTCATGTACATGTAAGTTAAAGAAGATATATTACTAGCTCAAGAATTGTTGGTTTGGTTTATCTTATATGACAAATGTTGAAGTAGAGTGATGATGCAAGTGCACAAGTATGTCAACACCTTGGCCCGAATTCACAAAGGAGGTTTGTCGACAAACCTCCTTTTGTTTCGCCAAACCTCCTTTTGTTCTTTACAAACCAGGTTTGTAAAAAACACGTAAAAACACGTCATATGACGTAAGAAAACCAAGGTTTGTCGACAAACCTCCTTTGTGAATTCGGGCCTTTGAGTCTATACGAGATGCAAGACACAAGCACAGATGGGAAGTATAGGAAAAGTGTATATTGTGGAGTTTTGGGCCTTACCATAAAGGCCTTTACCATAAAGGTATAATTATATTGATGGGAGCTTGAACGTTTGTCATATTGGGCCTGTGATGAAAATTATGAGTGGTGTAGATTCAAGTAGGATTCACACCATGAAATTTTCAATAATTTGAAGAAGATTCTTGCTGTCAAAAAGGCTAATGTTAGTGATTTTTGAAAGTTTCCTGTCTCAAAATTATACTAGCATTCTATATAGCTCCTATTCTGCTGGATAAAGTCTTCTACTATTCCCAGCATGAGTACAAGTTCTTCTAGACAAGTCTAGATTGGATTCCTCTGCCATGGCAAGCCAGTGCAGACAATGTTGGATATTCATGATGACAAGATTTATGATCTGTTTACTTTCAGCCCCTGTCACTCCTGAAGAGATTGGTTACTGCTACATGAGGTTCCGTAACAGGAACTCTCGGGGTACCTCCTGCAGTCAAGAGTTGGCTGTGAGGATGAGCTTCCTCGACTGCTGTTGCTCAGTGGATCACGCCGAGGGCTGGGGATTGTCAAGAAGTGACTGCAGTCCATGCCGGACAGAGAATGAGGGTGAGGAAAATTACACCAGGGGGGTGTTTCACAAAGATCTTAAGTTGAACTTATCTCTAACTAGGACTTAAAAATTATGGAAAGCCGTCAGCATCTATGAAAATATTTCGTAAAAGTTATGTTAAAAGACATGACATGTTGATTCAAATCATTCATATTTTCTGTTATCAAGGGGATTTCATGTTCTTGATGTGGAAATCCTATGTGGAATTTATAAAAAATTGAAGTATTTTAGACTTTTCATAAATTCCACATCAAGAACATTATATTTTTTGACGACAGAAAAGATGGATGATTTGAATCAACATGTTATGCCTTTTAAAATCATTTTTACAAAATATTTTCAATGATGCTAACAGCTTCCCATAAAAGTCCAACTTAGAGTTAAGTTCGACTAAGGATCTTTGTGAAACACCCCCTGGACTATTGACTTATGAAATGACAAAAATAAAAATTAATAACAAATAACATGTAGTAGATTGATAAGTATTTGTTATCAGTCTGAGGTAATTTTAAACAAATAATGAGGAACTTATTTCATCAAATTGCCTACTTGAGATATTTTCTGGCCATTCTACAGTAACCCATGTGATGATGGGCAACTCTACCTTTAGGTGATTGCCTCTTGCAAGCCATTTAATGATAGACTTACAGTTTTTATATCAATTCTGTTCCTTTCTTACAACATATATTCCAATTCAAGTGTATAACTCTGGTATTTTTCATAACAAAGATATACCAGTTCTCAGACTTCTTCCTGATTTCAGACCTTGTCATCTGTTTGCCTCAGGCTCTTTTTTAGGTTTTATATCGTACAGAAGCTCTAGGACAATAATTTCTAGGGCTCTAGCATCTCTGATGATGTGATAGTATTAACCAATACACTTAGTTTCTAACTCTACCTATCTTATTATTTCAGAGCTTTACCGAAGACTGTGCGAAGGTGTAGGAGAACTTACCACACCCCAGCCGAGGAGAACGCCCAACCCACAGACCAGGACCGATGGACCTGGAGTGGTAACACTGACCCCACCCACAGTCACCCCTCCACGAAAGATCACGCCCCGCCCTGAAGGGATCTGTCTCATGGTGCCTAACATATGTCGCAATGGTCTGTGCGTGTCCCTGGGGGGAGTCATGGAATATCGTTGTGAATGCTTTGAGGGGTATGAGAATGCTGGCAGGTACACATGCCAAGGTAGGCAAAGGCTACACAATTCCTTCATCAAATAATCTCATTTTCTGTTATCTTTAAAAAAAAAAATTAAAAAAAAAAAATTCTCTTCCTCTAGTTTGTATATATTCCTTATTCTAGTATATACATGTATATTTCACCATTGTATTTTGTAATTAGTTGTGTATTTTATTATCTTTATTTCTTTCTTGTTCATTCTCTCTTTTTTGTTGTTGATTCCTCATGCTCAATATAAAGTTATGAATATGCAGTAAATGTTCCCCTGACTATTTACTTTAAAAAAATTATTGTCTGTCTTTAATTTTGACACGGTTTTGAAGTTATTTTACTATTTATCCCTTTGTCATAGAATTAAAATGCCAGGAAATCCTTGAAAGTTTTAAGAAAATGATCAAAGTATAGTATCCAGAAATAGGAAAATGAATGTTGATTGTACAACAAGAACTCTATGCTATGGCACAAACTCACAAAGAAATTTCATGAGGCTATCTTTTCATGTAATTCTGCTACACAGCCTTTTGGACTGAAAAATGCTCCAGTACTTGTGTTATAATGAAACATTCCAAAATATCCTTTTTTGTTGATGGTACACGTAAATGATGTCAATTAAGATATGAAACTATTTTAATTCATCATCATACAAAGAGCTGACAATGAAACAAAACTATCCATATTTCTTCTTGTTTGTTGTTGACACTAGATATCAACGAGTGCCGAGACAGGTCCCTGTGTAGGTATGGAGCTTGTGAGAACACAGATGGGAGCTTCCGTTGTGTGTGCCCCAGTGGATATAAGTTATCTCTCGATCAGAGGTCATGCGAAGGTAAGTCGTGATAATATCATCGTACATGTAACAATACACTTTGAAGTGATTTCCACTTCAGATCTTGACAGTTTGTCAGATTTGTCCATTGCTTGGTATATTAGTGAATAATTGTGTCAAATGCGGTTTAAAACTAGACATCCTTGTGACATAAAAAGTTTTGTGAATTGTGTAAACAACAGCCAATTTCACTCAATAAATTTCCCATTTTGCCAAAATTCACTGCTGTGCCAGTTGTGATTCAATTATTTTGTTGTATGAAACTTTGGGGGTTTGAATTGCATCTGAAATTCCAGAAAGTTTGTTGCACTAGAAGGTTCTGTTACTACTGAAAACAATTCAAGATATTTACATTTTCAGCAATTGTTAGGTACTGTAATTGATATATTGATGTAGTCAGTTAACCCTTACTGTACTGGGCTATTTTGAGCACCCACTGACTGGGGGGGGGGGGGGGGGGGGGCCTGGGAGGCCCCCCCCCCCTATGATCTCGGCCGTCGATTGTCCGATGAACACAAAAATTTGCATGTTTGTAGATATTTACGTAAGGAACAAGATGGTATAATTAGTTTTTTCCGAATATGCAAATTTTTATCGTTAGCCTAATTAATTATGCAAAATGCGCTAATTTTATGCATTTTACCGAAAACGTGTCAAACTCCACTTTTTGTATGTTGAAACTCATTATTCATATGAAACTTCTTTTCTAACACAAAAAAGTTGTTTTAATGTAATTAATAATGATAATTTATGCAAATTTTGATGCGATTTTCATTTTCATTTTTTTTTTTTTGATGACATGCGCATACTAATTGTTATGTAACGCCTTACAGGTGTATCCGATTTCGACGAAAATGGTATCAAAATGTGCGTAAGACTTGAGGGAAAAAAGTCATGAAACGACAATTCAAAATTCCAAGCGGTTGCGGCGCAATCTCTGAAAATGTCGAGGGGGGGGCCTCCCAGGCCCCCCCCCAGTACAGTAAGGGTTAAAGGTTAGACACATACACTGTATGTCAGGAATGTGGATTTTTTAATGTTTATTCAAGTTTCGATGTACAATGTAAGTAATTACAAAAACATAATTATTGTAGGATAGCTGTTATTTCAACGCCCAACACTTTCATTTTAGAATTCCAGTGGAATTTCATTCAAAGGATTAATTTTGATTGTTTTGCATTATTTTCCTTGTAGATGTGGATGAATGCCGTACCAACCCTAATGTGTGCCACCACGGTACATGTATGAACATTGTCGGCTCCCATACATGTGATTGCTTCGAGGGCTATCAGAAATCAATAGATGGACGTTACTGCATTGGTAAGTATTTTTGCACCTCATATGTTGGATTTTGATTTACCTTTTTTACATTTGTTTAACTTTGTTATTTTTTCATGATTATTTGAGCGTTGCGTCAGGGAACCAGGTAATTCACACACAGAGCTTATGGAATGAGAGAATCCAGTGGTCGATGGGTTAAATGGGATAGAACCTCACAATCACATGACCTTTCAGTTGCAATCACTTTCAACATTTCATCAACCATTTTGGGCAATTTTCCCTAATGTATTTGTTTCAAAGAATTGTGGATATGAAAATTACAAAGTAAAACAAACACAGAGTTGATTATTTTTCAAGCAAAAACAGAAGATACATTGATTCAAACTCAGTTCATATTTGATATTCTAAGAGCAGTGCTTCATCTGTTTGTATATCATTAGTGAAAAATATTCCTTAACAGAAAGTAAACAGTTCTGACAATTTATTTTAGTTCCTATTTCATGATACTGCATGCATTCTTGTCACTCATATCAATGGAATAGCCGTTGACCCACTATTCTCTTGATCTTGTTAACCCGTACAGTTGTTGGGGAGTAGAATTTGTAAATAGAAAAATAGGGGAAATCCCCCAGTGGGTTGACTGTGACCTTAATATAGCAAGGTCAATACTATTGAGAGCTGACTAGGAGGTATACACTTACTCATTGACATGTGTACATACCTGCTGTGGACCAAATTCAAAGAGGAAGTATCCTAGTTGACCTACATATGACTGTAATAGCAAGATAAGCTTTTGCAATAGGCCATAGGATATGTTTATATTTCATTTTGTTTTATGAATAGTGTTTTTAGAACTGTCAATTTTAGGACTATAAGAATTGCGTATGTCGTGTTGTTTATACTTCTGATTGCGTAGTAGTACAACATTTTTGCTTCTTTCAAAGTACTCATGCTCCTCGCTTGTGAGATTATCTTTTTTCTTTTTTTTCTATCTGGAAGGGCAATGTAATTATGTCATCAGGGAAATCATGCTCCCAACATTTGTTTCATTTTGTCACACAATGCACCTGTTACGTGCCCTCTGTAATTGAAAGGTCAATCCATTTGCTTTCTATCTGACCCCCTGGTCAATTGTTTGATCTTTATCTTCATTGATGTGACCTCGGGTTGCTGCCGTAATGAGAAACACATTTAAGAGTTGAACGCAGAATGTGAGATGCTATTCCTGCAGATGGTTCCTTAAAGGGATAAGGAATCTGTCAAAGGAACCGGAAGGAATTAAAGTAGATTTTGTTCTTTTGCTGTTTTCACTTTCTGTCTGTCTTCTTATTCCTTCTTTTATTTCTTGTTCTTGTTCTTGTTCTTCTACTTCTTCTTCTTTTCTTCCCTTTCTTTTACAGTTTTCTTGAGAATTCTTGATTGCTCCTCCTCTACTTATGATTCAATTTTCACATTTTCATATTTATTTCCTTCTCATTACCTAAACATTATAATAGTTAACATAATCAATGGCAAATACAGTATATCATTCAGTAAATGAAACAATGCGATATCCCGGAAATCAAAGCTTGTATTTGAAACACGCAAGTAACCAACCATTTTTTCTATTCCTCTCATCTCTGCTGTTTTCCAGATGTTGATGAATGCACATTGGGCTCACATAGATGTAGGAATGCAGAATGTGAGAATCTTCCCGGTACCTATGAATGTATCTGTACTGAAGGCTATGAAGCTATTGGATCATCAGGCGTCTGCATTGGTGAGTGTAGCACATCGAGAGATGTTATGCGTTAGAGGGTTATGTGTGCAACAGTTGAGCGATATTTGCTCCTGCGACAGTTGTGTTACATCAATTTCCCGTACCAATCAAATTCGTAACTCAAACTCTGGCCCAACACCTAAACCTAACCCTAACCCAATGCCTTCTACAAACTTAAGCCCTAAGCAATTGTCGCTGGAGCAAATGTCAGATCACCATGACACCTGACAACATCTATAAACAAAAGTAAATGTATTATATCATGATATTTATATCCATTGAATTTACACAACTAGACGTTGTGGCGTGCGCCTGTAATCCAGCTAACAGTGGAAGTTACAAACTGATTCAGCTGAGGACACAGGTTCGAAACTGAGTCACGTCTTTCGGATGGTGACGTTTAAAGGTCGGTCCCCAGACTTAAATAATCGTATATGATTGATACACGTCTGTAAAGACACAAAACACACACACATAGTGGCAGGTTTATAGAAACATTATATGCCAGAGGATGTCCGACTCTGATAACTGATTTGTTATTCAAAATAAAAGCCTTGTTGTATGTTGTCTTTTTGCTTGCTTCTCCCTTGATTTTTACAATATTATGTAACGCTTTGAACTTTGAATGAATTGCTCCATTGTGTGGCACTATTACATGCAGCTGCTAATTGAGAAGTTTATTAATATCAAGATGACTGTTAACGAATTTGTTCTGAGCATGTAGTTTCACCCTCATTGCTTAGGGTAATATGCCTTTGTAAATGATCTGATACAAAGAAAGGTTATTTTCCTACGTAGTGTCATTTCTCTTTAACTCTACTCTAAAGAAGTGTAGGCTACATGTATGTCTCCCTTTAAAAAAATATTTTTTACATTGTTAGCACAAATGAGCGGTGTTGAGCTTCAATGCAGATATCTGCATGTAGGCCAGCATGTACAAGATAGCTTGTCCAGTACTCTTGAATACTAAATGTTCATATATTAGAGGTATTGAATGTCATATAATCATGATTTATAGGCCTCGACATTCCGTCATGTAGCCTGCTCATAAAGATATTCACACCGATCAGTTTGATTCTTACTGTAATGTGAAATATGCGATACAGATCATTACTATCTGAAAATGGATGCAGCCTGGTATTCAGACTTTCAAGGATCAAAGTTGTCAGGTTCCCATAAATTTGGACGAATGTTTATTTACAGATGTGAGAAAATGTTGAATCCATTGTTATTAAAAACAGGGTAGGATTTTCCACTTTGAAGGTAACCATTACCCCCAAGAGGGATTTTTTCCCTTTAAGCCAACCACCCACTCCCCCAATTCAAGCTACTATTTCAGATATTTCCTTTGGCCTCCCATTCTCGAGTCCTGCTTCTCTCTCTTTGACTCCCCATACCCTTCACTACATTTGTGGACAGAAAATGTTCATTATACTACTAGATCATATGCGAGAAAGAGTGAAAAAGACATAGACTGAGAGACAGAGGGAGAGAGAGGAAGAGAGAGAGAGTGTGTGTGTGTGTGCGAGAGAGAGAGAGAGAGAGAGAGAGAGATAGATAGATAGATAGACAGAGACAGAGGGAGAGAGAGAGGAAGAGAGAGAGAGAGTAGGGGAGAAAGCTGAGCTTCTGTGTTCATGTCAATCACTTTGACCTTTAACCTATGAAAGCTACTGGGATGAGCCTGGAATTCTTGTTGCAAATCGATACAGGTGCCTGGGGACCTAGTAACCCCAGCAGACTCAGTCTTATAATGAGTTATACGAACAAAACTAGGATTTTATAGATTCCTCCCCTCTTTCTGTGTCTCTATGCATGGACCTAGTATATTCTTGCTCTATGTCTCCCTTTATCTGCCTCTTGAACTTATGCTCCCCCTTTTAACTAAGTCTCTCTTCTCCTCTCTCTCATTCTCTCTTCTTCTTCTATTCTGTTCCTTTTCCCCATCACTCCCTTGCACTTTCTTTCTCCCTCTCTCCCCTACCTCCATCTTTCTTTCTTACTCCCTTTTTCTCTCTGTCTCCGTGTCTAGAGCTCTTTCTGCCTCCCCCCTCTCTCTCTCTCTCTCTCTCCATCTATATATCTATCTCCTGCATTTCTCTCTTTAATTACCTTTCTCTTTTCCTTTTTTATTCTTATCCTCTTCCACAACATTTTGTACTAATAAACAAGCCTTTGTGCACTATATTTATATCAAGACAACTAAGGCCATTGACTATCTAATGAGAGCCAGAACAGAAGGGCATTCCTCTATATCACATTATATATAATATATAGTGCCCTACAGGCTCACATTGGATGATAATATACAATCATAATTCTATAGGAAGACCACCACCAAAGGGAGACAAAAAGTGGTCTTTATTAGCAGGTGGTCTTTGTAGACAGGTTTACTTTTACAAGTTCCAATGACACACATTATTCCAATGAAAGAAAAGAAATGTAGTCTTTATAATTAGGTGGTCTTCATGAAGGTTTGACTATGTACTCTTCTCTTTCCTCATTTGCTTCATGAAGGTTTGACTGTATAAGTTTTTCTTTCCACATTTGCTTCATGACGGTTTGTCTGTATAAGTTTTTCTTTCCACATTTGCTTCATGAAGGTTTGTCTGTATAAGTTTTTCTTTCCTCATTTGCTTCATAAAGGTTTGTCTGTATAAGTTTTTCTTTCCACATTTGCTTCATGAAGGTTTGTCTATATAAGTTTTTTCTTCCTCATTTACTTTGTGAGGTTTGTCTGTATAAGTTTTTCTTTCCTCATTTGCTTCAGATGTGAATGAATGTGCTCAGGAGACCAATCCATGTCCTCTGGGTTTCTGCATCAACACGTTGGGAGGCTATCAATGCCAGTGCCCTGTGGGTTATGCAACAGGACAGGATGGCACCTGCGTCGGTAAGTAATCATCAAATTTGGTTTTTAGATAGTAGAGCTGGAGAATAAGGTCAGGTAATTATTGTTTTAGTACAATAAAGTATGAGCAATTTGAGAATTTGTCAATAAAATTTACTTTGTACCTTTTTATCTAAGTGTCTTGCTTGAAATGTCATGAAATACTAGGAGGTTTGAAAACCTTGTATTTACCATATTACTCAAAACAATTGAATACTTAGAACATGCAAAACTCTCAAAGTATTGCTTAATATTTATAAAGAGAAGGTCAAGTTCTAGTAAAGGTGATAAAGAACTTGTGAGGTTTCACGCTCTCTTTATATTAGTTTGGAAGAAAATGGCAGAAAAAAATGCGCTCTGAAAATGATTGCTCTTCAATACCAACACTTTTGAAATATGAAAGCTAGCTATTAAACAAAGTGTGGACCAAAGGCTCATGCCACACATGTATGTGGTATAAAGGACATGTACTCATTTCAGTGTGCAGCGTATGAGATTTGGAGAAAGTTCAGTGAATTTCTCATTCAAATTGAACGATGATTCCAAAATTCCACAATGTACACCAAATCCAACATATGTAGATGTACGTACGACATGAACAATCTTTTCCCAGTTGCTTTGAGACAGTGCATTTCAAAATGTACATGTAATTTCATTTTGTGAGTCTCCGTAAGAACTCACATAAGAGAACTCACCTTGCGTATGCGCAGTCAAATCACTTCTTCACATGGTTTTACTGAGAAGTAACTAACTAATGTCTTATTCAGAGAACCGTCGTGGCTTCTGTTTCTTGGACGGAGACCTTGGCCGATGCACCCACCAGTCTATGGGTCAGATGACCATCTCATCCTGCTGCTGTAGTGCTGTCCTACTCCAAGAGGCCCTGAGCTGGGGACCAAACTGTGAATCCTGCCCCCCGCAGGGTACGCTGCAGTTTGAGCAGCTCTGTAAACATGGCACCGGGTGGACAAGCCAGAGAATCAGTAAGTCACCTCTACAAGATTCAGTCGCTTTAATCGTAATACAGTCAAACCTGTCTATAACGGCCACCCAAGGGAAACACATCAAATGGTCTTTGTAGACAGGTTCCTTTAGTACATGTTTCAATGAAAAACCATTTTCAAGGGAAACAAAAAATGTGCTTGTTGTAGACAGGTGGTCACTAATGCAGGTTTGACTGTACCAAAACTTAGATAACCTGGACTGGAGTCTGTGGAAAATTTGTTCAATGTCCAAAATCAAATCATATCCAACAGGCTTATCCCACTCAAAATAGTTCATGCATGCAGACCTGTTGGACTGCTTTCTTATAAAATAATTTTGTTTTTGGAGCAGCAAACAACAAATTTGTTAGTTGTTGTTGATTTTATTTTATTTGTTTTATATTTCTTTCAGTTTATTTTATTTCATTTCCAGGAACATAAAGAAGTATAATAATAACAACAAAGAAATCAGAAAACAAAGCACAGTAATGAATACAATAACAAAAGAAAGAAACAATCAACTATTAAATGCCTGTGGATTACCAAAAGAGCAGTAAAATTACAATAATTGTTGTTCCTGTGTATTAAATAGTGGTTCACCATCTTATATTTGGAAGATTAACCACCTTCTTTTGTGTTTCATGTAGATATCAATGAGTGCACACTGTTCAACAACCTGTGTGACAATGGCGTCTGTGAGGACTTGACTGGTAACTACAAGTGTAGATGTAACTCTGGATTCCAGCCCCAAGCTGATGGCAAGGAGTGTATTGGTAAGTCGGTAAACCTTGCTAATGGTTTATAGTCCATGGGGCAAAAGAATCTCCCAAAGGTCCCCTCCCTCCTTCTGGCATAATTCTAGAAGACTATCTTGTGTTAGCCAGGACTCTAAGCTGTCAGAATCTGTTCATTTACCATAAGTTAGTTGTAGGTAAACTGTAGTCTTTCCACATTGTAAGTGCTGCCACATTTCTGTCACCTTGGGAGGTGTTTTCATAACGCACTGTTAAACAATGTTATGGCTATGATTCAGAATTAATATCTCACAATAGCTTTGAGTTTTAACGATCTGGTTTTTGTTTAGAGAGAGACTATTTTTTCATGATAAAAGTCCATAGTTTTTATGCTATGGTTGTGATTCTATCAGTGTGATATAACAAGATGTCCACTGAGTTCTGTAATTTCAACAAATCATTAAGACCTGTTTGAGGAAGAAATATATACTAGTGCATGATTGCATTGTCTTACTTAATATCCAATTTGCCCTTTTTTCAGATGAGAATGAGTGTTCTTACAACAGACTACTCTGTCACAATGGTGCGTGTAGAAACACCCCAGGAAGCTTTGTGTGTGAATGCCCAGATGGCTATGAATTGGATGCAAGGAGCTCAGTTTGTCAAGGTGGGTTTTCATGATTATAATAATCTACTCATATTAATCGAAGAGAAATTACAAACATAATGATGAAAAAATGTAACTGTAAGACATGTTGTTACAGAATTAGATGTTCCAGATGTGTAAATGTGTATTTCTAAACTCTTTTTTGACCAGTTATAATGTGGAAATTGAATGTCATTTTGAATAATGTGAATGAAAAGTGCATGTAATGTGCAAATAAATGGAAGTGTTTAATATAAAACGATAGTCATTTTAGTTTAGCACCTTAATATATATTTTTTCTGTTGTGTATTTAAAATTATATTGACCAGTTTTCTATTAGGAACGTTGATTTGAAAGAGAGGTTTTAATATCACATAGCTCAGAATACGCAAACTATTGTATTTCTAGAAAAACCTTATTAGAATATTAACAGTATTGTTTGTTCATACATGTACATTTTCTCCTCAAAGATGTCAACGAGTGTCAGAATCCAAGTCTTTGCAACAATGGTCGCTGTATCAACACCAGAGGGAGCTATCGATGTGAATGTATCTATCCCGGCACTGAATTAGACCCCACTGGAACCATTTGTGTCGGTAAGTCTCAAGTTATCATATGAAGGGTAGTTGTTGGCAATATTCATGTTAGTAAAATGCCCTACCTTCTTTCAACGAACTCCACTTAAAAATGGCTGTATTCAATATTAAACCATACATGTAGGTGTCTTGTGTTATATTGATTTATTAACTTCACATTCGTTCACATGTAAGGTCAAAGAATTGAAGGCACTTCTCAATTATACTGTAATTTTTCCATTTGATTTTCTTGCGTCCTCATTCCTCTGTTTGTTTATTTCTTTTCCTTTACCTTCTGATTATACCTGCCTTATGCATTCCTCTCTCCCTCTGTTTCCGCCCATCGCATTATTTTTGTCCCCTCCTGTATTATTGTATGTGTATATTTGTCTATGTCTTTTGTTTCTCCATCAGTATTGTTTTCCTTGCCCTTCTCTCTGTCCATGCCTGTATCCCACTTTATTTGGTTTTATCTCATGTCTCCTCCATTTCTTTATTCATATCATATCTTATTTTCTTTGAATTCATTTTGTAAAGTCAATTAATGTCTCCTAATTTCTCTGTGTCTCACCCGACAGATAACCGCATTGCCACTTGCTGGACCCGCATCAGTAACGGTCAGTGCGAGGCTGACATCATGGGACCAATGAGGAGAGATGAATGCTGCTCTACCTTTGGCCGAGCTTGGGGTAGTCCCTGCGAAGCCTGCCCTCTTGCTTTCGGTGACTGTCCTCGGGGCTTCTCTGAGATCAACAGTGAATGTGTTGGTGAGTTGCAGTAGTAGTGGTGGTTATTTTACCTGACTGCTAAGAAAGCATAAATGCTTGTTAGTAATCAACCAGAGGACCAAAGGCTTTAGGTCCTCTCTGAGGGACCTGGTAATGAGGATTAATGCCTTACTAAAGGACACTAGCACATTGACTTGGTTTCGAACCTGGGTCGCCAGATTACAAGACCACTGCTCTACCAACTGAGCTATCACGCCTCCTTATAGTAAGACTGACATTGGTGATTTGGTTTGTACTGCTGGTTGCAAGTTCGAAGGAGTAGGAGAAGGATAATGTCAGACTATCTGCAACAACAAGAAATATGTGACGAGACATTGTTACGTTTTTACACTGCAGTAGCTGAAAACACTTTCAAACATTCACATCAGTGATAGAGTAATCCCCAATCAGTGATCCATGTTGAGAAGACTGGAGAATGAGAGTGATTGAAAGCTTGCTTTGTTTTTCTCCTAGGTATAGGTGCTTTTTGATCAATATGTAGATAATGTTACATTTTTCCTTATCAATAGTTTACAAGAAATGTGAAAATAGATTATGGTTTTATCACTTGTTCATGTACATGTAGCCAACTAAATCAAATTGATGAGTTCTACCTTATGGAGGAAAGAGTCAAGCTACAAGTAGATTATATATTGGTGTACTATAGTTTTTATAAAGACATATTATGTATATACAGTCAAACCTGCTTTGGTGACATTTTTTGTTTCCCTTGAAAAAGATTTCTCATTGAAACATGTACTATAAGCACCTGTACATAAAGACCACCTGCCTATAAAGACCACTTTTCTTGTCTCCCTTGGGTGGTCTTTATAGACAGGTTTCACTGTATATGTACAATGTGTAATGTTTTGATGTTTATTTACTTCAGATCTGAACGAATGTGAACTCAACCCGATGGTGTGCAACAATGGGCTATGTGAGAACACTATGGGCTCCTACCGATGTGTATGTGAAGAGGGACTCACCCTGGATACCTCCGGAAGAAACTGCGTCGGTGAGTTAGCTCTTTACGTTAGTGGTTTGAAAGCTTGGCCAGGTCAATAATAATAATAATAATAATACATAACATTTATTAGGCGCTTAATACTGATGTTTCTAAGCGCACAGTGTTCTGATTAAGAGAAGACTATAACCCGTAGAATTAAATTAGAAGAAAAAGCAAAAATACAAAAGTAACATAGATAAGGTAAGAAAAACAGTGGCAATCAACTAAATAAAGACAAATATGGTGCGCACCTCCATTGACCGACGCACAACTGCAATTTACAATTTGAAAAGATAGGTTTTGAGTAGAGATTTGAATTGAGATACAGAGGGGGCGCAGTGAATAAAGGCGGGCAGTTTGTTCCAGAGAGCGGGGGCAATAACTGAAAAGGCGCGGTCACCATACCGGGTGTTAGTGCGGGGTCCAGGTGTTAACAGTAATGTGGAAGATGAACGAAGTGTTCGTGACGACGTACGGGAACGTAAGGATATGAGATCGGAAAGGTAAGAGGGGGCTAAGCCATTGATAGCTTTGTAGCACAGGAGAAGAATTTTGAAGGATATGCGGTGGTGAATTTTAAGCCAATGTAGTGAGTTCAATATTGGAGTTATGTGCTCTGATTTACGCGAGAGAGTCACAAGCCGAGCAGCGCTATTCTGTATCCTTTGAAGTGGGACTAGATGTGACTGAGGGAGGCCAGAAAGAGAAGAATTACAGTAATCGATATGGGTCGAGACAAAAGCATGGACTAATTTTGAAGTTGTGGGTCGGTCAAGTAGCCTCCTGATTCTACTGATCTTATATATACCAAAGGAAGCAGACTTACAAATATTACTAATGTGTTGTTTGAAAGTAAGATTGCTGTCAATATTTAAACCAAGGTCACGCACAGAAGCACAACAACTGAGAGAGCCATCACTCATAACAAGATCAGGAAAGGGGTCTGAGTTCCGAAATTTAGAAGTAATATGAATCATTTCAGATTTTGAATCATTAAGGCAGAGACAGTTTTGAAAAGACCAGGTTTTGATTTCATTGAGGCAACTGGTGAGTTTGTTCGCGGCTACTGTCCTGCTGTTTGGGTGAAGAGTTACATAAATCTGGGTGTCGTCTGCATACATAGTGTGTTGAATATTCTGATGAAGGTTAATAACATTTGAGAGAGGGCTGGTGTAAAGAATAAACAGGAGGGGGCCGACCACGGAACCCTGAGGAACGCCGCAGATGAGGGGAAATGATTCCGAGTTGGTGTCATTGATGATCACCTTCTGAGTTCGGTGCATGAGATAGGAGCGAATCCATTGAAGTACGGTGCCGGTGATGGAGAAGTCGTTCTCTAAGCGATGGAGTAACAGGTCGTGGTTGTTAGTGTCAAATGCGGCAGTGTAATCAAGCAAGATGAGGACAGCTTCATTACCCTTATCTACAGCTAGAAGTAGGTCATTTAGGACCTTGACAGTTGCAGTCTCAGTAGAATGATGATTCCGATAGGCAGATTGGTGGATTGGAAACAAACCAAGATTGTCAATGTGGGCTTTCAGCTGTAGTGACACAATACGTTCCAAAACCTTCCCAAGGAATGGCAGGTTTGCGATGGGCCTGTAGTTCTTAAGTCCATTCGTGTCGAGACTCGGCTTCTTTAGGAGGGGAAGAAGCAGAGAAGTCTTAAAAGACTCTGGAACTATTCCGGATGATAACGAGAGATTGAACAGTTTGGTTATGTGAGGAAGGAGTTCATCGAGGACTTCCTTTAGAAGCCAGGTAGGAATCGGATCTAGCTTACAGTGTTTAGAAGGAAGTGAAGTGATGAGCTTCCTGACTTGTGAGAGGGATACAAGGCAGAAATCAGAGAGTTCATGACGAGGGCCTGGAGCAAAAGATCTTGAAGCTGGTGCTGGTACTACATTAGGGAAAGAGGATACAACTTTGGCGACTTTTTCCCTGAAGAATGTAGCAAATCTGTTGGCGAGTTCACTATCAGAAGAATGATCTGGAAGAGGTGAAGATTGAGTGGGCGTTGAGAGTGTCTTCACAAGACGAAACAGTTTAACATTTTCTTCAGCATACATACGAGTGCTCGTGAACTGAATAATCCCTTTCTTCTTAAACTATTGAGAGAAGAGAGAACAAATGGCATAAGAAAGGAAAACAAAGAATTATGTAAAGTCAATTAATGTGTTGTAGGCTAAATGAGAGAGTCATATTCACAGACATATTGTACTTATCCATCTTCTATTTAACATTTTCTTCAATTTACAATACTCACCATATTCTCATTTGTTGTGGTTCATTTTCTGAATATCTGTTCATACCATTCCTATTCTCTCCTTTGTCTGTATCACCATCATGTTTTCTCTTTGTTCCCAATGTCTTTCAGACCTGCGTTCTTACGAGTGCTTCTTGGACTACTCTGAAGGCCAGTGTTCCAGTCCTATCCCGGGTCTCTACAGGAACTCTGTATGCTGTTGTTCATTGGGCTACTCTTACGGTGACCAGGGAAGATGCTATGAGTGCCCACAGGAGGGCAGTGGTATGTTGACCGTCATACAAATGTTTCTAACATATTGTGTAGAAGTGAAGGTGTTTCACAAAGATCCTAAGTCAAACTTAATTCCAAATTGGACTTAAAAATCATGGAGAGCTATTTGTAGCCTTAAAATAAAATAGATTCAAAAGCCAAAATTCAAGTATTTTAAACTTTTTATAAATTCCACATCAAGAACATGAAATCTCCTTGATAATAGAAAATATGAATGATTTGATTTTATGCCTTTTAAAAGAATTTGTACAAAATCTTTTCATAGATGCTAACAGCTTTCCATGATTGTTAACTCTAACTTAGGATCTTCATGAAACACCCCCCCCCCAGGGCCTTGTTTCATAAAAATGGTTATCAATAGCAAGTAACAATAGTTGTTATAAGCTACTGAAATCCTTGCATTTGATTGGCTGTGAGCAGATTTGTCATAGATCTGTGGCAGTTGTTAATTGATAACAAGTTTTATGAAACAGGGCCCAGATAACATGTGAGAAGGATGAAAGATATTCAGCCAAAATTTCAATCTAGTGAAGTTTCAATTGTCTCTGTTTGTGTTTATGCACTTTGCAAAGATCAACACATGTTTTGCTTTTGTTCAAAATATAAATTTTGTAAGGAAGGTTATCAATGATTTGTTCACATACTGAATTGTTAGACAAGATAATTTAGTTGATACAAATTTGATGATTCATTGAAGATTTTGAAAAGCTGGCAGCAGAACAAGAAGTCACCCTAGAATAATGTAGTGTTTTTAAAAGTCGGATTGGGCAAAATATGTTGAATTTCTCTAGGGAATAAGCATTCTAAACCCTTAAATGGAAAAAAAAGGATATTCAATTGCTTGATTGTTTGTGACATATTTTTGTCAAGTGTCTCTTCTTTTTTCTTTTTAATCCTGCCATGTAGTTGAGTTTGATGTCTTATGCCCAAGAGGACGTGGTTTTGCTGATACCAGGCCGCGCCCTGATCTTTTGGATGGCACTGTCTACATCAATGGTAAGATACGGATTACAAGCTGCACAGTTGAATATTGGTTAATTTTCTTGAGCAAGTTGCAACCTGTCTTTAAAATATTGAAAAAGATGTATTATCTTTACAAACAAACTCTTTTAGTGAAAATTTAGGGCTATCCAACAAATGATAGTATTCAAAATTTGTGGAAATGTACATTTTGATTTATTTTTGTTTTAAATTACATGAATTGTTGATATTCATTAGTAGGATAATTTTTCTGAAAAATTCTTTTTTTCACAGGAGCACTTTAGGGTTCTCTTTTTACATGTGATATTTTTTTTTGGATATGATTTTTATTTATTTTCTTCCCCAAGTTCTCTTTTAGTTTTTAGGTTTAAAATGCTTTTTACTCTTGTGTATTTTTTGTCTTTCATTGCTAGTTACTCAGCAAAATGTATATTTAAAATTCTAAGTGCTTGTAATATTATATTCATAACCTCTTTGTGCTTCTTTTATGTACAGACATCAATGAATGCAACGCATATGATGGAATCTGTAAATATGGAGAATGCACCAACATCATTGGATCCTATGACTGTGTATGTGATGTAGGCTTTGCTATGGATGAGTTTGGCTATCAGTGTGTGGGTAAGTCTAGAAATCATTGCTGTCAATTATTCCAAATCAAATGTGCAACAATTTATATTTCATTTTCTTGGTATATCGTTCTCTCCATTTTTTCCTTCGACCCTCTCTCTGTCTCTCTTTTTTGCTCTATTTCTTGCTCTTACGTTTCTTCTCACCTCTTCTCTTTCCACCCCCCCCCCCCTCTCTCTCTCTCTCTCTCTCTCTCTCTCTCTATTTAATACTCCTCTCTTTTTTGTAAACTTGTTCATGATATAAATGGTAATGATCATTTTTTTTTTAAATACTGAAACCTGTGCATGCTAATGATGTAGATGATAATGATGTTGCTGTCTAGCTAATAATTTAGGGGTTATCAAATACATTTTCTGAACTTGTAAAAATATTAATTAAAATGTGGGAATATATTGTAATATCCTGTTTAAGGGCTAAATTATTTTACTTCAACTGAGTCCTTCGGGTTTCTCGTGATATGATGACAGACAAGATGATTTAGACATGAGCACTGAGCATAATCATGATTAAAAGCCCCACTGTACTACTTATAGCTACTTGCGCCCTCTATATAGCAAACAGTGCCTAATCGGTGACCATTGGTCCTCCATGATCCTCATTTCCCCATGTTAATTGAGAGCTACTTTGATGAGATAACCACCTGTCAGTGACCATGCAGGGAGTTCTAATCCCTCCTGGCCAAACTAGTGCAGATAGGCTTTAAGATGGGGTAATACATGCAGTTCTTCTATGTAACTTTACACCTTTCTTTTCTGTAGACATTGATGAGTGTCGAATCACATTTGGTGCCTGTGGGAATGGATCCTGTGAGAATACTCCTGGAGACTTCAGGTGTAACTGCTATGAAGGATTTGAAGCTCATCCAGTTATGCGCTCATGCATGGGTATGTATGTACGAACTCATCACAGACAATGAATACATGTAGGACTGAATGAATTGGCTGTTCTTCTTCGATTGGCATCATTGATCATTTTATTTATCAGTTACACAGCAATTTTTTAAAATAATTTTTAATACAAAATATTGTGGTCAATATTGGTTATGTTTTAACATTGTGTTTGTTGAGGTTTGGCATTGATTTTTGTCGTTGGTTTGCTGTTTCTATTATTGTTGCTGATGTCTACAATTAACATTATAATAATGAAGATTGAGAATTTCAGAAGTCATTATATGTGTGAAATTCTTACATTTCTAGTAATGAAATCATAAGCCAAGAATGTCAATCACTATTTTGTTGCACTTTCACAACATTTCCTTATCAGCTAGGCCCCATTTCATAAAACTTACAATTGATGGTAACTTTGCCATCAATTGCAATTGGTAGCAGGGCTCAACAGCCAATCAAAATCAAGGTTTCCATGGCAGTGACCATTGATGGCAAAGTTACAATCAATGGTAAGTTTTGTGCAACGGGGTCCTGTGTTCATGTAGCTTGTGGACTAGTCAACAATATCTTTCATTTCATGAGATTATGAGTGATGGTTTGATGTTTGTTTTCCATCATGTTAGATATAAACGAGTGTGAGACAGTACCAGGTCTCTGCCGAGGTGGCTCCTGCACTAACTTACCAGGAATGTTCAGATGTGACTGCCCCTTGGGACAAGAGCTGACACCAGATGGACAGGCTTGTAGGGGTAAGTACTCATTAAAGATAAAGTTGAGTTCTGGTCATGTAATTGCATTGTGAAAGAAACGTTGTGGAATCGATCAGAAAAGGTTAACCCTCTAGCATATATATACTGGTGTGTACTGGAAGGTTCTGGAATCATCAAAATGATAAGACATTTTGCCTAGTCTTTGTAAAGTTACAAGCACTGTACACAGAAAAATGTATATGGGGCTACACGAACATGTGACATAAAAATCCATCCCGATTTTTATGATATCACACCTGTATATGCCATATTTAGAATATGAAAGCATTTGAAGAGCCATGCTTTCAGGGAACATTTTTTCTCTGATGTTCTTCCACACTTGCATAGTAACAGTGATAACGCTCACAAATTATTTTTCACCTCTTCCCAGAACTCAACCGTCTCTTTAAGTAGTCATAAACTGTATCCATTTTTCAAAATTTGATTGGATTATTGATTGATTTTTGTTACATTGGTTGATTGATTGGTTCATTATTTGATGGATCAATTGGGTTAGTTTTGACGCAACTTGTTGGGTTGGTTGTTTTGGTTTGCTTTCATGTGGTTTGAATGTGCGTTCAATCAAGTCTATCATACTTAGAAAGCAAAGTGTTATGTTTACTGATACATGCAGCAAGTGGTAGACTTACAAAAAGGGACTAAAACTCTGGCGAAAAGTGATTTAGAATGCACTTATGCACTAATTTGGTGGAATCTGAATCAATTAGTTTCTCAAACCCTTGCATTAAAAAACTGAGAATTTTGTGCACCTTCAGATATTTACAAGGTGAGTAAAGGAAGATCCAGTGCTCTGTTTCACAAAACTTGTCATCAGTGACAAATGACAGTTTTTGTTATAAGTTACTGAAATCCTTGCTTCTGATTGGTTAACAGCAGAGTTATCACAGATTTTTGTCATTCGTCATTGAAAAAAGGTTTTGTGAAATGGGGCCCAGAAGAGATATACATGTACAAGTGATTAAATCTACCGGAAGATGGAAAGAATGTAGTAAGTTACATAGTTTACGTCATCTACCATTGATGCATATTACATTTTGAAGAACCATGTTATTACCAAGGTCTGTTTCGTTTTTATGAATTCCAACAGATATCAATGAATGCTCCATCAGCACAGGTATTTGCTCCAACGGTGAATGCCACAACATCGTTGGTACCTACCGATGCATGTGCAATCCGGGATTCAGGCCAACAGCAAACTACAGGGCGTGTGAAGGTAAGTTCAAGTTTTATCCATTTACTGTTTCTAGTCTGAATATTGACATCCTAGTTTTAATTAAGGTAGGGATTAATTACAAAATAATGTATAAACTTAAAACCATTTTATTTGGAATGTAGTAATCATCAATTCCTATTAAACAATCATATTGAATAATTGAAGGTGACAAAGTCATTACAGGTTAGAAATACATAAATGATCTAATATTTCGCAAAGATAATTGCATTTTAACCCCTACAAACAATTTAGTTATTAACAAGGCACTACCGGTATTTATTTATAAGACTTCCCATATTTTCTTTTGTCTTCTCTGTTGTAGGTCTAGACACAACTAAATTTTAGAAGTGTAATCTTAGGTGTATGCATTCCATGTTATAAGAAAAAAGAGCAACTCCTCCATAAACTGACTTGAGCAGGGTTTTTACACTTTGAAAACTGAAAAGGTTAATAAAACTTGTATTTGTTTTATATTTTACATTTGTCACTTTCTGTACAAGGTTACAGTTTGTATATTTTTGATTTATTTTAGTATATTTCTTGTAAAAAGCTTTGTGTTCCTTGTTTTTTTTTCTCTTGTAGACATGAACGAATGTGATATGGACAATGGTGGCTGCGATCATAACTGTGTCAATTCACAAGGAAGTTATGAATGCCAGTGCCAATCTGGATATTCATTGAGAGTCAACGGCAGAACATGTGTTGGTGAGTTGCTTGCTTCTATGGTTCTTTTCTTTGCAGTGGACAAGTGATGACAATATTTCTTCTATTTTATCTAATATCTCCTCTTTTTAATCTTTTATAGTCTGCATAATTACACAAAAGCCTTTCTGGATGTGGATTTAGTGTCATAGAGTACTGTATAATGTTTTTTTTAGCACTTACCATTTTAATATTTGTCTTTATAATCTAGATTGGTGTAATAATTACTGTTTCAGCTTTCAGCTTTTTTCTTACCATGCACATGACTTTGCCCCACCAGCAGTCCCTGATGTGATTGCCTTGATTGTTATGACAATAATATGCTTCTTCTTCCAGTGTAAGTGCTGCTTCAAGGTAATGAAGACAAATGCTTTCAGGAATGTAGGCACTCTTCATGTGCTTTTAAGATTAAGACATCAAAATGGTTCTTCTAGATGTACATGAACATTAATATTTCATATTAAAAGTGTCATTTCATGTTTTTCTTTGGTTAGTTCAACATCATTTATTTAAAATTCTTAGCCCTTGTTGATTCATTGATTGTATCATTTTGTATGAACTTTTCAGATATTGATGAGTGTGCTGACAACCCTGATATCTGTGGTGGTGGACAGTGTGAGAATCAAGAGGGAGGCTACCTATGTGATTGCTTCGTGGGTTTCAGACCAGCAGATGACTTCAGGAGCTGTCTAGGTAAAGATAATGTTCAGTTCAATCGGCAGAAGTCGAATAATAATAATAATAATAGTAATAACAATTGGATTTATATAGTGCCTTTTCCAAAGGATACAAGGCGCTGTCTCTTAAGACTATCAACAATTTAAGAGGTGTTGTACAGGTATGTTTTCAGTTTTTTGAAGAAATCTAGTGAAGTACTATTTCTTAAGAATGAGGGAAGTTTGATCCAGAGACGCAGGGCTAAGGACTTAAAGAATTTGAAACCAGCCTGTTTACGGTATTTGTGAACGACAGAGGTTGGAGCTGTTGGGACTGCAAAAGTTTTATGCCAAATTTGAAGTGTAAATATCCCATGTTTTGCATAGTTTGATAAAAAATTGTTGATTCAAATTAAGGAAATTTCAACTTATGCAGAGTTTACTTTATTTCATTTCATCTGCTGAAGGTTTTTGATAGGAAGATGGAGATGATGTTACTATCTTGAGATCTCTCACTGCTCTTCTGTCCAATGACACACAAATTCTGTTTGAAGGTTGTTTGTCTAAATGTCTTTTGATTCCCAGCGCACAGTATCTTTCTTTAATTAGCATTCTCTGCATTTTCTTCTTTTTTTCTTCCAGGAAACATGAAGTGAATATTGGTTCAGAATATTTAAGTCACATGTGTGTTTGAATAGGAGAGAGAGAGAGACAGAGAGACAGACAGACAAATATATATAGAGAGAGAGAGATTGAAATTATCTTGAATTGATAATATACAAGTAACAACTGTAGTCCACATGTCAATTGTCAGATGTTAAAACAAAAATTCCTTTCCATTGCCTCCAAACTAATCGTTACTGACTACATTTGCTTTTCTTTTGCAATATTCCTTTCGACATAGATATTGATGAATGTAGTACAGATGCTGGTGTCTGCGTTGCTGGTGTTTGTAAGAATACCCGGGGTTCATTCACCTGTCAGTGCTTTGAAGGATACTCTATGAAACCAGGCATTCCTGGATGCTCAGGTAACTTACAGTTGTTTCTAGAATAAGAAATAATCAACTGATGGGAAATGTTTCATCCTTTATTCTTTAAAATAAAAAATTGAATTGAATTTGTGTCATGATCTTTTTTATTTCATTTCATTTAAATTCTTTCTATTGCATCCAAATCTCATCTTTTTCAGAAGAAACTCATTGTAAAAATGTGTACAGTGTATATAATGTACCGGTAGTTGGTATCCCGAATAAAGCAAGTAGTGAACTCACATCACTTTTGATTCTAAGAATGTGCATATAAAGATGAAATAGTTAACTTGTAACAGCACCATTAATGCTATCACGGAAGTAAGCTCCATCGGCGCATCACTAGGCTGGAATGACATAATACTTTACTCAAAGCCATGGAGGCCTTGACTTTGAAATTGTTTCAGGACCAGTGTTCAATCCTGTTCTTTCCAAATATGTTTCATTGGTGTATTTCATTATCTATCTTCATAATCATTTCCTTCTAAGACATATTTAGTTATGCTCTAGTCAAAATAAAATAGTCAGAAAATAGTTTAGAAACAGCACAGAAAATATGTTTATGTTACTATTTTCAACTCTAAATATATTTTTCATCTATCTGTTGTTCCAAAAAGTGAAAAACAACCAAGGTTAACATTGCTTTTTTCTTCAATCTTGTTGTCTCCGTAGACATTGATGAATGCATGCTACAGATGCACCAGTGTGCCATCAACTCACAGTGTGAGAATACCATCGGCTCGTTCCAGTGTCGCTGTAACCCAGGCTTCATCGTTGATGAGAATGCTAACATCTGTATAGGTAAGTCACAACCCATCGAGTTATACTTTGATATTTGTTCAGGAAATCACAATTCTGAAGAAAGGAGGAAAAATTGTCTATATATGATATGCTGTATAAGTACATGTAGGCGAACGCTTAATCCTATTGGATCAATCTTTGATCAGAAAAGTTCTTTGAATCACAGTTCTTGTTTTCTTTTTTTAATCCAGTCTTACTCTTAAGTAGGTGATACCATAGATAGAGGAGATTGAACTTATTAAATATTTAGATTTTACTGTTTATGTAGCATTGACCCCTGCTAATATCTACCATACTGTAGTTGAATTGATATCACAATTTCTCTTGTTGTAGAAAGTTGCATGCTGTTGAAGAAAATATTGAGGGGTTTTTACATGTACAAAATCTTGCACTCCATTTACCTACTAAAGATGCAACAAATATCTCCATGGTAATTCAGTATGTATCTTCATCGGTTTATTTCTGTGAAGCATGCAAAGACTCCAAATTAACTTTCCTGGTAAAGCACTAAATACTTACTACCAGTATGTTTCAGAATGTGAGCTTGTTAATCTCGAAGACCTCTTCTCTTTTCCTCGTAGATGTGGATGAGTGTGAAAGCTCCAACCATGACTGTCATGAAGATGCTCGCTGTGTGAACATCCCTGGCTCCTACCAGTGTCAATGTAATCAAGGATTCATTGGAGATGGTCTTTCGTGCATAGGTAAGTTGGTTTAGTTTCCATTTGTTTTTAAATTGAGTTTAATGTATAAACTAAAGGCATCACATGGTCAAAATATATTGCATTTTTCACTGGAACACATTTATATCTGCTACTATAGGTGGTGTATCCATATTAAAACTGGCTACAACATTTCTGCTATTCAATTAGATTTTTTTAAGGAGAAGGCCTCCTGTTTCATGTATCTTTTTTGTCTCTGTCATGTTTTGTGTTCTTTGTTATAACATTGATTGATTTCTTTAATTTTGTTTTTTTCTTCTTTACATCCATAAAATCGCTACAACATTTATTGCTATTTCATGGAAATTTTTCAGATAAGAGAGGGCCTTGTATCAGTATTTTTTTGTATCTGTCGAGGAAATTGTCATGTTTTGTGTTCTTTGTTATAATATTGAATAGTTTATAGTCTATTGAATAATTCTATGATAAAAACGTTTTATTGATTGATTTCTTAAATTTGATTTTTTTTTTGTCTTCTTTCTATCTATGATATCTGAATAGATGTGGATGAGTGCATGCAGAACCAAGCCCTGTGTGTCAATGGGCAATGTATCAACAATCCCGGTGGTTATGTGTGTGAATGTGAAATGGGATTCTATCCAACCGAGCGCAGAGACAGCTGTGAAGGTAAGTTCTACTCCAATTATTTCATCACAATAATAAGTGGAGTTTATCACCATTGATCTTTACTTTTAAGCAAGCAAGTGTTAGATGGCTTATGGAAGATGGCAGTGATGATCTGAGTGTTGGAAAGAGGAGGCAATCGTGTTCCTATTCCCGAGATAGTTGAATACTAATCATCTGTTTGTCTCCTTGCTATACGTAGTAACCTTTTAAATTTGTTCATCTGTTTCCGGGCCCGTTGTACAAAACTTACCATTGATGGTAACTTTGCCATCAATGGCAACTACCATGGAAACCTTGATTGTGATTGGTTGTTGAGCCCTGTTACCATGGTAGTTTCAAAGTTACAGTTTTATGCAACAGGGCCCAGTAAAAAAGGACAGTAATCCCTGACCCATCATCAATTGTTAGCTTCATTGTTCTTTCCAAGATCCTTTCAAGTTGATTTCCTAACAATTTCAGTATCATATTCTTTATATAATATCTTTTTGTAATTGTTTAGACATTGACGAATGCTCCAACTTCCCGGATATCTGTGTGTTTGGTCAGTGCATCAATGTACCAGGAACCTTCCGATGTGAATGCAACCCAGGATATATGCTGGATATAGGAGGAGGCAATTGCACAGGTATGTCCATTCAGTGTATCCCTTATATGAAGAGCTCGGTTCCAAAAGGTACTATATTCATTTAAGTCATGCATTTTAACTTGCATACAGTATGAAAGATTTTAGGTTCCAAAAAGTACTACATCCAATTTCGGTTCCAAAAGGTACTACATCCACTAAAATTTAAAAAACAAAAAATTCACGAAAAATATTTGTGCAGACTTAGATTATTTTAAAGAGTGGTTTCATACTTGTATCATACAATAGTATAATCAGCCAAAGTATTATTCCAAACTGACATTGCTGACTATGATAATTAAAGAATTGTGTTATCAGAACTTGAATTTATCGATGTACATGTAGTACCTTTTGGAGCCGAGCTCTTCATACGTACTTTGATATTTAAAAACAAAAACTGAACTGTCGTCGACAATGTATAGCACTTATGGCCTTTTTGCAGACATCCTACGAATTACAAATGAATGTAGAAGGAGGCAATTGCGTAGGTATGTCGAATCCATGCATCCTTGTCTGTTTTTTCATATTGAAGACGAAGATTAACAGCAGAATACCCCACCATGCATCAGTACTACCGGTATGTTTTAAGGTCAGGGTCAGGGTTAGGATTATTTATGTGGTGGGATATTTTGTAGCTGTTCCCCAAAACAATGCTCAAAGAGGCTTCTGAATTCAAGATATCAAGTTGTAAAAAGATAAGTTAGGATGTTAGACTGTTAAGATTTCCTTCTCATTTGTCTTTTTATTTTCTGATTTTATATATCAGTTTGGACAGTTCTGTTATGTGAGCCATCTGCTGTGGGTGCTTCTGTGACACACAGTGGCACGAAAAAGGCTTCTGGTACATGCAAAAGTACTTTCTGATACAAGAATTTTAGTTAATGAATACTCGTGTTTTTTTGTCTTGATTTAGATGTGAATGAATGTGAGGACCCTGGCACATACTGTGTTAGTGGCCTCTGCACCAACAGCATGGGATCCTACGTCTGTGAGTGTCCTCCAAACTGGGTGCTATCTCGTGATGGAACAACTTGTGCTGGTAAGATTAGTCTCTCCTCCTCCTCCCTTTTTTCCCCTCTCTCTCTCCCTACCCCTCTCCCCCCCCCCTTCCCCTTTCCCTTTCTCTTTCTCTCTCTCTCTCTCTTTAGACATGTTGAACAACTTTATGATAATAATAATACATTATATTTATAAAGCGCTTAATTTTAATGTTTATAAGCGCAAGAAAAAGAAGAAAGGAAAAGGAAGGAAAAGTGAGAGATACCAAAGAAACATGTTAAGAATATTGAATTACAAGTAAACGGCAAAGAAGAATATGACATTACACAAAATAATGACTACATCAAAATTATTTGAAATTATAGATAAAGTTTGTGTCATCCATGTCTACGTTCTGTCTTTCATGTACTTTCTGCTCAATATTCTCTCAATCTGTTTTTTTTTTCTCTCGCTCTTGCTCTATCTCTCTCTTTCCATTACTGTTCTTTTACTCCTCCAAATATGGAAGTTAAAATGCAAGGATATGCAGTGAGATGGAAAAAATGTGACTTGCTTTTTCTCTCTCTCTCTCTCTCTCTCTCTCTGTATCAATCCATTACTGTTCCGTTACTGTTCTTTACTCCAAATATGGAAGTTAAAATGCAAGGATATGCAGTGAGATGGAAAAAATGTGACTTGCTTTTTCTCTCTCTCTCTCTCTCTCTCTCTGTATCAATCCATTACTGTTCTTTTACTCCTCAAAATATGGAAATTAAATTGAAGGATATGCCGTGAGATGGAAAATTTATGTGACTTGCTTTTTTTTCTTCAGATGTGAGAACCGGTTTGTGCTACGCCCATGGCCCAGGGGCGGAGTCTCGACTTGATGTGAACGAATGCAGTCTCCTTCTTGGTACCAGTATCCCAAGGACTAAATGCTGTTGCTCAGAACTTGGCAAAGGCTGGGGAGATCCATGTGAGCTGTGTCCTCTAGTCAATACCAGTGAGTTCCGTCTAATTTATGTTCACTTATTCTTATCAAGTCAAAGCTGTCTTAAAGAGAAGGTTGAGTTCTGGGAAGAGGTGAACAATAATTTGTGAGTGTTATCATTGTATTATGCAAGTGTGGAAGAACATCAGATAACAAATGTTCCCTGAAAAGCATGGCTCTTCAAATGCCTTAATATTCTAAATATGGCATGTAACATCATAAAAATCGAACAAATTTCTTATCATTTTGATGATTCCATAACATGGCAGTACACACCAATACTTATATGCTAGATGATCACCCTTTTCTGATCGATTCCACAATGTTTCTTTCACAATGCAAACGCACGTCCAGAATTCAACTTTATCTTTAAGGGTTGGTCAGACCTCATCCATAACCATAACTGTTGTTTATGTGGAAAAATGAATTGGAAATTGTTTTGGTAGGTCAGAACTCAACTATTTATGCAAAGGAGCCTCCCATAAACATTTTATCGCTCGGCCATCAATTTCTTTTAGGGTAAGTAAAGCCTCGCCGATAACATCTGTGAGCTAAAAATTGCACTCCTTTGATGTGATGTCAGTGGCAGAAGAAAGGATGGAGGTTCTATTCATAGCGTTTGATGGACAGAAGCAATGCATATCAGCGAGGTCTGACCAGGGCTTTACCATCTATCAAAATATAAAGACCATTTTTCATGTCTTCCTCAAGTAATTTTTGTATACCAACAAAGCAGATTGATATGAATTGATGGGATAATTCAAAAAGAGTTCCAAAAAATTGTGATTACATGGAACGGTACGAAAACAATTAAACTCCTCAATGTCATCTGCTTATCATGTAAATATAGCTTTCAACACAACTATGATGTTCTTTCTTTCCTACAGCTGAATTCTTCTTGCTCTGCCCATATGGAATCGGTGTACATATTGATCCTAATGCCACCCGCCCAGTCAATGGTATGTACAAAGATATAAATGCTGAAATGTCACATTCTCTTTTTTCTCTCTCTCTTGAAAAATTATAAATATATTTACAGTCAAACCTGCTTTAGTGACCACCTGTGGCTCTCTACAAAGACCACCTGTCTACAAGGACCTCATTTTTTGTTTCCCTTGAAAATGGTTTCTTATTGAAACATGTACTAAAGGAACCTGTCTACAAAGATGACATTGTGTTTCCTTTGGGCGGTCGCTGTAGATAGGTTTGACTGTATTAAAAAGCACATGCGCAGTGCTGATCTCATTAAAATTGACTTGTGAACCTTTAGAATGTCTCCCAGGCTGTCTGATAGATGTACATCGATAGGTCATATCTTACTATTATAGCAAGAAAGAAATCGGGGGGGGGGGGGGGGGGCGTCAGCGTTATTTCATATCCAAAACAAATTTAGCTAGCTGAGGAGAAATCATTTCTCATATCATTACTTCACAGAAAAAATACCATATACAAGACATATAAGTTTTTCAGGGCAGCTCTTAACAAAACTGTATGTTTCTATGGTAGAAGAGTCTGGTTCCTGCATACTAATACCCCCATCGAGTGATAGACAAACAGGAAAGAAGAAATAAAAAGCAAGAAAAGAGAAAAAGCAAAAGGGAGAAGGGGAAAAGTGCACCCCCCTCCCCCTAATCAGTAGCCTTATAAATTTGCATGCTATTTTCCTAGTGATTCTGTGAGTCAATGAAATATTGTTTCCTTCTCAGAAATCAACCAGTGCCGGGACTTCCCCAACATTTGTCGCGGTGGAGAGTGCCAGCAGGTAGAGGGATCCTTCAGATGTGTGTGTCCTACAGGATACGAGTATGACTTTGAACAGATGATGTGTATTGGTAAGTACTGTGCCATGCTGCTTCGACAGAACCTAATGGTTTTATTTACAGTTTCCCCAATTCATTTCTATTGCTGATTAACTTTGTATAATTCCAGTATATTTATAGACATGTTTTCCATTTTGAGTGTGTTCTCTGTTTTCTATATTGTATATAATCTGTATCTTATGTGTTTTTTATGGATTTGAATTGAAATAAAACTTGAAACTTGAAACTTGAAGATAGAATTAGAAATGCCCTCATATGTGCATGTTCCAGAGGAGGAACAGATATGTGTGTAGGCCGGTAAGAAGAAACATGGCTTCATACTTCATAAAGAAAGATGAAGAAATACCTTCAGATGTGTGTACACAACACGCTTTGAGCGTGTTGCAAATAGATGTGAACATGTTGGACTGAAATTGGCATTTGTATCGTGCAAAGGTAGGCAGTAGTCAAAAATATAATTCTTTTAGTATTTGTCCATTGAACCCCTATCAGATGTTTGAAGGGTAAGCCTGATCGAACCTTGCATGGTGAAAATTAAGCCTGAAATTTACCTTCCTATGCTTATTTCAAGGGTTAATGATACAAGGTACATTTTCTAAATCAGTTTATTGTGCACTTGGATAAGTACTCTATAATGATAAATGCTATCAATATTAAAGTATTCATCTTATTGATTTCTTTTGATTTCAGACATTGATGAATGCCAGCTGAGTGCTTATATATGTGGAGCAGGGACGTGTATGAATATGGAAGGCAGTTATACCTGTATGTGTCCAATGGGATTCATGTTCATGAACATGCCTACAGGAAAGAACTGCATGGGTGAGTATCTTATCTTCATTCTCTCCTCTCTCTCCCCCCCCCCCCCCTCTCCCCTCTCTCTCTCTCTCCTCTCTCTCTCTCTCTCTCTCTCTCTCTCTCTCTCTCTCTCTCTCTCTCTCTCCCTCTTTGTCTCTCTCTCCTCTCTCTCTCTCTCTCCCTCTCTCTCTCTATCTATCTTTCTATCTACCCCTCTCTCCCTCTCTCTCTCCCTAGAGTCCATAATACAGAAGATTTGATCAGAATCATGAATTTGGTAACAATGGATTTCTCTTTGTGCGTCCAGTCAGCATAATATTTCTTTGGACTTGTGCCACTCTGACTGGCCAATACATCTTGCCCCTCAACACTAATGACATTTTATACCTTGGTCTATGATGATGATAATTGTGTTCAATCATTCAATGTAGTTCTGTGTATTCAGTGTATTCCTACTGGTCGTGATTATGATTAATGATGGAACCGTGCTCACTTTTTATGTTCCACCACCACAGACATCCGAGAGTTGACATGTTACATGTCCTACAACCAATCAGCGTTCCCACTGCCAGAGTGTGGGAGTCCATTGATGACGAGTCTCACCAAGAAAGTGTGCTGCTGCAGTGCACTCATGGCTTCGGCATGGGGAACTAGGCAGGAGTGCTCTCCTTGTCCAGCTCATATGACAGGTACAGTATACAAATAATAAAAAGCAGTGAGGGCATTAGTAAGAATTACCTACACAAGGTACGATTGGAACAGTCTAACGAGGGTGTTTGGACTGTTTTGAAGGTACCAAGTGTGGGTAATTTTACTAATGCCTGAACAAAATGATGTGTATTATTTGTTTTATAAGATTATGTTTTATTTGTTTTATGAAATGAAGTTTTATAACATGATTTTGATAATGACCAGTCATTTAGCATTTGACTGTCAAGTGGATTTGGCGCCTTATAAATCTTATTAATTATTATTATTATTATTATAATGACCAGTCATAATCTAAATTACGCATTAGGAAAAATAAATGTTTGGTCACATGTACGCTCTCAACCAATCATTTGCTTAGGATCCATGTCATCATCTTATAAATATATATATAAATTGATATGATTTCCATTGTCATGGTGGTAGCTGTAGTAATGAGGATGCTGCTGCTGATGATGATAATGATGTTGATGATAAAGAAAGTGATGACGATGAGGAGGAGGAGGGCAATAGTGCTAAGGATGATGAAGAAGAGGATGAGGAAAAGAGTAGAAGGAGGAGGAGGAGAAGGAACAGGGGGCAGTATTGTGATGAAAGCGATCAACTCTTTCGATTGATGAACATAATTTAATAATTGTAGTTTTTTGTTGTAATTAGCTTTTTTCTTGTTTTCTTTTTCTTTCAGAGGATTATTACAGGATGTGCGGTGCGACTTCACCTGGCTTTGTTGTAAATCCCGAAACTGGCCTTCCTGAAGGTAAAGCCATTATATGCAGCGAAGAAATAAACTCAAAATTTAAAGTGAACAAACAAGCTCAATAGATAAGGTTTGACAGACCCTCAGAGGGTTAGAAGTGTATTTGGCTCTTGGGGGTGTTTTACAAAGATCTTAAGTCTAACTTAAGTCTTAGTTGGACTTAAAAATTATGGAGAGCCATTTGTAGCACATCAAGAACATGAAATCTCCTTGATAATAGAAAGTTTGAATGATTTGAATCAACATTCTATGCCTTTTGAAATAGCTTTTACAAAATATTTTCAAAAATGCTAACGGCTTTCCATAATCATTAAGTCCAACTTAGAGATAAGTTCAGCTTAGGACACCCCCCTGGTTATATTTTGAGAGTTGTATCTACATGAAGGATACCAGAAACCATATGCCAAAACATGGTATCAGTTAAAAAGGGATTTTATTTTGTAAGAGAAAGACACATGATGAAACATTTGAAATTTGGAATGTATGAATACTTTGCCACAGCTCAATCTAGTTTAATGATTTCATTGAGTTTGCAAGTGGATTAAGATGATCTTTCATACCTGCACATTATGAATATGCTGTACAAGAAAGAGGAATATTTTTGTTTTATATTCAAACAGATTCAGGTTCTTACTATAATTTTTTTAACAAAAATACAATGAAGATTTATACTGATACTTTTACCAAACTGAATCTGAGGATGATGCCTATTCATTTGATTTAAATTGATTTAATGTTATGTGATTCAACCATATGTTTGATTATTGGAAATAACCCAGTCAATATACATTTTTTCTGTGTGAACATAATGCTAGTGTATTGTTAAACTATGGACCTGATTGAATCTCTTTGCATTGTTGTACATAGATGTGGATGAGTGCAGGCTTATAGATGGTATCTGTGCTAATGGTATCTGTGTGAACACACCCGGAAGCTTCCGTTGTGATTGTCAACCAGGCTACAGGGCAAACATGGCTACACATATCTGTGAAGGTAGGAGAACGCTTGTTCCATCTATGAAAACTTATATGCCCGATCAAAATTTTAAACCAATTCTAGGCTTAAAGTACAGGTCATTATTCCATAGTTTTACATACTTTTTCAAAAAATCATAACTTTCTTATTAGTTATCTGACTTTGCTCAAATTTTTTTTGATTGGTCTGTCTGATTTTTCTGCTTCTATTGAGAGTAAGTTATTTTTGGAGTGGACTTGGCCTTTAAGTTCTTGGTGAAGATGTGTTAACACAGGAAGTTAGTTTAAGGTCTAAGCTTTCCTTTTTCATACAGGATTGTAGACCCAGGGTTGGGTTTATCTGGAATAGTAGAATACGGACCCATAATATCTTAGTATCTTGTGATTATCACATGTTAAATTACATTCATATCTAGCCATAGCTTTCCTTATTCTTTTCAAATTTCTATTTGTCTTCTCCCATATTAAAGCAGTTGAAAATAATGTAGCTTGGAAGTATTTTTAGCCAATTTTGCTCAGACTTTGTTGTGTTTCTGGATTTTTACTTCAAAGCAACCAGCTGAAAAGGACATTAATGATCATGACACCCATTTATAATGTAATATGAAGATACTTTGTAAGTGCATCTCTCTATAGTCTCATAAGGGTGATGTACCATGAATTTGATACTTAAAAATGGCCACGTCTGTGTTTCCTCTTGTTACCACTTGCAGACATTGATGAATGCTTTGAAGGCATGCATCGATGTGTAGGAAACTCCATCTGTAGGAACACACCCGGCAACCATGAATGCATCTGTCCTCCTGGATACCAACTTTCTGTTTCCAGATTATCCTGTGATGGTAAGTGGATGATGATGACAATGATGACAGCGATGACGACAATGACCTTGATGATGATGATGATGATGATATTGATGACAAACATTCAGAGTAGACCGTCACCCGTCTAGAATGGATATGGAAAGAAAATAGGAAAGATTGTGATGACAATAGTGATGCTGGTGATGGTGATTGTAATGGTTATGATGATGATGATGACGATGATGATGATGATGATGATGATGATGATGATGATGATGATGATGATGATGATGATGATGATGATGAGGATGATGATGATGACAATGACGTCGATGATGATGATGATATTGATGCTAATAATGAGGAGGAGGAGAGGAGGAGGAAAAGAAGGGGAAGATAGCAGTATTTTATTTTAGATTTAATAGAAAGTTTTAAGGAATGGTAGCGTATGATGATTACTATTGATGGCGACAGTAATGAGGATGATGATTCTCATGGTTATAGTAGATCATGGCTGTTTAACTGTTATGAGGATGATGAATAAAGGTTGTAGCAAGAGATGAAAGATGAAGACAATGATTTCAGTCCATGAAACTGCAGAATGTTGTAACAGATGATCATAGAAGATACATTGAAACTATTTCCCACGTCTTGCTGCCTACTTGATTTTACTGTGATTTTAACTCCACCCTGTTGTCACCAGATATTAATGAATGCTTGACCAGACCTGGTACCTGTATAAACGGCCAGTGCACCAACCAAATTGGCTCCTTTGTGTGTGTCTGTGACCAAGGCTTCCAACTCTCTGCAGATGGGACCCAATGCAACGGTAAGTTCATCATGTTCCAGATAGAAAGTCATAACAAAACGGTTTTATCAAATTTCTACTTAACTGTTTAGTTTTGATTGCTGAAATTATTGTCCCTCTCAATAATTAGACAATACAGGGACTGAAATATTGTTAGTATATGTAGAACAGTCCAAACTTTGGATTGTGTTTTCTATAAGTGTACAATAACATCCAGTATTCTTGGATTCCTTAATAATTTGCTCAACTCTAACGTTGAGTTTCATCATCGACAGCTAGTGATCTTGGGATCATTTTACGAAACCGTCATAAGTACAAGTTCACCGACATCCCATTGAAATGTGTGTATTGTTATTAAAACGTGTTTCAGTGGGATGTCGGTGAACTTGTATATTATGACAGTTTCATGAAACGATGCCCTGAAGACTAACAAAAGAAAACTTTTAATCAAGGCCCATATTAATGTGCATGGTATATACAGATATATATAAAGTTTAAGTAACCAAATTACATTTATATATATATATATATTAAGATAGGACAATAGAATGTAGATTAAATGCACTGATCGCAGGATAGCTCTGGCTGTTTTAAGCTGATTTTAGAAATGAGTATATATTGTTCTTTTCCACTGATATACCTGTACAACCCCACAGTGTAATACTGTTATGTGTAACATTTGCAATAGATGCCTTGATGCAAAATGATATGTTGTTATATATGTTTGCACCAATTACATTCTTTAACCATTTAGCTCTACATTAAGACACTTTGAAAGATGCCACTATTTTGATGATTTTCCATCCGTCCGTACTCACAGATATTGATGAGTGCTTCCGTTTCCCAGACCGATGTGGAAACGGCACCTGTCAGAATGTGGTGGGAGACTTTGCCTGCAGCTGCAACAGAGGCTTTGAACTCACTATCAATGGAGACTGTGCAGGTGAGTGCTGGGCATTTTATACAGAGCGTTATCTCAAGCAGGAACACTTTCATAGCAACGTTGATGTACTAAAGTACTAATCCTAAGGTCAAGAAACTGGCCATACACTGTGTGCTTATATATAACGTAGTGTAGGTAATGAAAATGTGCCCCACTTTAAGGGTGTTTTTATCAGGGATTCCCTCTGTAAAGTCTGTCAATGCAGTGGCATATTTTATATATTCTTTCGTGGCATTTACGAAGTGTCATGACAATAAGGAAAATAATAATGGCAGTATGGATATGAGACGAGACAACCTTTGACACTAAACTGTCGATATGAAGGGTATGAACAAAATGCCAGCACCATTTTGTGGGTATTATTATTTGCTGATTTCCTTGAGATGTACCCTCTAAATTTAAGCCTTCCAGTGAATAAATAATGTGAAAGTTCTAATAAAAAACAGTTTTTCTCTCAATCATTGATTATGAAATCCATTCTTTGATTACATCCAGCTTGAATGATAATTACTTGTACCTGTAATGATATGAGAGATTGTATTGTACAGATGTAACAGAATTCTAAACCCATAAAAATCAGAAGTTGTTTCATGGATATGCTTGGTTTGGCTACTGCGTATAATCAATCAGATTTGATTTAGAATGATTTTGTGGATGTGTCCTCTTTCCTTCATGCAGATATCAACGAGTGTGCAACGATGCAAGGCACATGTCCCAACGGTCGGTGTGTTAACACTCCAGGCAGCTTCTTCTGTGATTGTGTTGAGGGATACGTTCTATCTCTATCAGGACTCCGATGTGAAGGTGATGATTATCTTCTGATTTTCTTGTTTTTTGTATTCAAATATTCAGTAGCTATGAGTTTAAACTTACAAGTAAAGAGATCTCAAAACAGATATTTGACTATGCTGACCTTTTTTTAAGTTCAAGTTGCTACATGACCATGCTTGAAGATTTTATTCAACCCTAGTCACTGATCTACAAGATTTTGCGATTAAATATACTTAAATAGGAATGCTTGTTTAAACCCTTGACATAATGCACTGTCCCAGCAAAACAAGGTATCTGCTATTTTGTTGAAAATTAGACCTCTTGTAATAGATGATTTTCCTAGTTTTCCTTTTTGTTTGTTTGATGCATGTATAAAAGGAAACCTTCATGTATAGCTAATTCAGCTATTCAGACTACCTGCCTGTAAGGTCCCCTTGTTTCCTTTTAATCGGCTTTATATGGATTAGATTCATGTTAATGACTGTTTCATTTTGATTGTTATAGATGAGAATGAATGTATCTCGAGGTTGAATATCTGCCAGAATGGTCGCTGTGATAATACTATTGGAAGCTTCAGGTGTTCCTGCTTCGATGGTTTCCAACTTTCACCTTCTGGTCAAGAGTGTATCGGTAAGAACATACATGCCAATTTCTTTTTAATTAGCTATTTTATTGAGTTGTATACAGTTTAACCATGTGATTTGGCAAAACTCGGCATTGAGTCACCTACCCAGATAGTTTAAACATAGTTTATGACTTTCCCAAACTTCCACAAGTTGTGAACATTTCCATGAACCACAAAAAAGTCAACTGCTGTGATTCTGTCACTTTGCAGCATCAATGCTTTTGCAGGTCTTATTACCAATCCTTTTTACAAAGGTCTCTGGGATTTTCAGTGTTTTATTATTATCTTCTTTAGAAAAAAAAATTACTTATGATATCTAGTTTTGTGATACCTGATCTAATCCAATCAAACAATCTCTCCCTGCTTGTAGATACCGATGAGTGTGCCATTATTCCTGACATGTGTCGTAATGATACCTTATTTATTTGTCAGTGATTGTGATTCACTTATCAGTGATTTTGATACCTCAAAGAATCTAATTCAATCCAACAATCTTTCCCTGTGTTTAGATACCGATGAGTGTGTGATTATTCCTGACATGTGTCGCAATGGTGTTTGTCAGAACACTCAAGGAAGTTTCCAGTGCACCTGTCCTCCAGGCTACCTACTCAGCAGTGATGGGCTCATCTGTATAGGTCAGTAAAACATCACTACAACCACAGTATCATTTCATAAAACTTTCATGAATACATGGTTGCCTTTATCCCATTAAATGACGGCTTGATTTTAAAACACGCTCTACATCCGATGTCAGATAATGTGTGCTGGTAGGAAGCATATTTCCACATTGTGGACAAAATAGATCAATATCAATTTTGAAAAATGCTGCCCATATTCATAAGTAATTTTCAATAGACCTGGTTTATGATAATTCACTGATTATAGCGTGCCGTATGTTTACCTCTCCAATCTATACCGATGACTTTCATTCTATGAGGAACAGATTTAAATTGTTAAATACCTAAGTGTCCTTTCATGAAACCATAATAACTACATGTACATGTTTGCTGGCATCCCATTAATGAATAAATGAATGAAATGAAAATGAGACATTACCTCAGGCTCATGGTGATAGGGATTTTGTTTTATGTCAATAGAATCTAACATATATTTCATGTTATATTCCCCTCCCCCTTTTCTTTTTTTTTTTTTGAGGGGGGGGGGGGTAGACACAGTTCCCTGCCATTTATTCAACAACTTGAATATATTAGAATGGGGTGAAGTCCCAGCCACTTCAGACTTTCTAATTATAGAACCCATGCCATTTGTATAGATGAACATTCTTAAAAGGTAACTTTGGATTGATTAATAGATTTGATATTTTGAAGAAGAATGGATCTCATTTTCATGTATGTCCATAAAGTATAGTGTTTTACCATGTTAAGAGAACCTAGTAGTTACTTTTTCAAAGGAATTTGTAGTCTCATTCTTAGTTTGCTTTATACATTCCTATGCTTTTCAGAAATGTCTTACTCCTCACTTTCCTTCATTCTTTAAACAGACATGCGTAGGAGTTACTGCTACAATGACTTTGTCGGTGGCCAGTGTACTGATGCTAGGGCAGGCAATGCCACTCGTAAGGAATGCTGCTGTTCTCTTGGCGCTGGCTGGAGTAGTCCCTGCAATCTATGCCCAAGACCCTCAGATGGTGAGTCCAACATTCAAATTATTTTGTACCTTTGCTTGGTATTGAATATTGTGTCTGAAGCTTGTGACATATTTCTGGTTTAATTTTCCTGACCTCTACAGACAGCTGCTTCTCCTTCTTCTTCAAGATAATCTGCCTCCTTCAATACTTAAGATTCTTGCAGATGCCGTATATACTCGGCCTGATTGGGCTGTGCAGGTGGAACATTACACCGGGGTTTCCCCCTACCCTTATACGAATAGTGCAATGGGTTCTTAATGTGTGAGGGTGGTGACTCTCCTGTACACAGGGCCTCCATTTAACGTCCTTTACTTCACTGATCTTTACTTCAATGGCCCTGGTTTAGCTGGTAGCCTATTAATCTTTTTTTCTTTTTTTGTAATATAGTGCATGTATTGACTTCTATATGTTTGTACAATTACATTTGTTTAAAAATAAATAAGCTCATGGCGCTTAAAATCTCAATTACTACTGTGACCAAAACTTATGAAATTTTTATTGATTGTATCTTTATAGCAAGCTTCACTGAACTTTGCCCTGATGGTCCTGGTTACGCACCGAGCTTGACCCCTGACCTCTACGAAGACATCAACGAGTGCAAGGTGTTCCCTGGAATCTGTGAGAACGGTATATGTATCAACACAGACGGGTCCTATCGTTGCCAATGCCAACCTGGATTCATCCTCGATACCACTGGTCGCATCTGTGTCGGTAATAATAAATATATTTGCTTATATAGCGCCTAACATTTACTTTATCAGAAGTCTCTATAAAGCGCTCTACAATAATGCAGCATAATTACCTTGGCTTTAGCAGAGCAGCTGTCATGCACTCTGCTTTCAAGGAATAAAGTCCTACCAGGTCGCCATTTACTTCACCTGGGTGGAGTGTGGCAAATGTAGATCAATGTCTTGCACAACTTTTATGGTCAAGTTTCTCCATCAATAAAATTATTAAAATCACCAACTAGTCCAGGATTCATTATGAAATATTCATTCTCACACTCAGATGCGTTAAAATTATTTGAATCATGCGTTCATTTGATGATGTTGAAAATGTTGTTATTTTGGTAAGCATTGAAAAAGACACATGTACATGTAATTGTAACTGGAGTTAACTTGATTGCATAATCAGATACGATATTGTTTGATGAGGATCATGAATAGTGCACTACCTTGCCAGTTAAAGTTTTTTATGCGCATAGAAATACAGAGATTTAAATAAGGTGTGCAGATGAAAATGATAAGTCCAAAGAATTTCTGTGAGGAATTTTTTTTTATTTCTCATTTTTACCGCCCAATATATATACTAAGATGATCTGCTAGGAAATCAATAATATCATTGCCTCACATAATATCATTCTCATTTTTTGCACCCACGAACAATGAACATGTTCTTTCAATCTTCCTTTTAAGATCGCAATGAGTGTCAAGAGAATTACAATGTGTGTGGCTTCAATTCCACCTGCTACAACACTCTGGGATCCTTTGAATGTAACTGTGGAGAGGGATACCAAGTAGGAAGGAGAGGAACCTGTGAAGGTGAGAAAAGACCGTATAAGATGATGAAGCGGATCCTAATCAAATGATTGGTTGAGAGCGTACACATGACCAGGCATTTATTTTGCCTAACACGTTATTTTACTAATGACCGGTCATAAGTAAAATCAAGTTATAAAACATCATTTTATAAAACAAATAATACACATCATTTTGAAACTTGCAAAGAATGATTTGAAACTTGCAAAGAATGATCTTAAACTTTCCAAAAATGAAAAAAATATCACCCATATATCACCTCGGGCGTGTTAGACTGTTCCAAAGGTACCTTGTGTGGATAATTCTTACTAATACCCTCACTGCTGTGTATTATTTGTATATTAGCTGATAAATGAATATGATATTCTCTGCAGCTAATAGAAAGAAATGTATCAATAGCACCTTGTAGATTGTATCTCTCCTTCTGTTTCAAATGGTTTATGGGCAACAGTAGCCATTAAAGCCATCATTTAACAATGTTAAATCTGAGATGCACGGTCCTACGTGTTATCAGTGTCTGCCATATGGTGTAATATTGAAGCCCTAAAAAAATTGCGCTTCAAAATGATCAAGAAGTGCCTCAAAAAAGTAAAATTCTTTGAGTGACCGGTTTTACCACACTAGTTTTCCCCAATAGACTAGTGTTAGGAAAACGCAAAATTTGGTTTCGATTTCCAATCATATATATCTTGATAATCAGACAGGCGATCAGCTTGTATCATTGCAGCATGAGCTAAATCCAGGAATTTTTTTGAGAGTCTGAGACAAAGTAGTCGATGAGGAACAAAAGTTTTAACCTTTGACTATTCCTCTGTTAACAAAAGCAATGTATTTTCTAATTTGTGTTTGACCTGAATGGGATTTATAATGCCCTATTGCATTGGACGATAGGTCAAATTCAATATCTTATTCTTAAGAGCTTTGTCTCTATACTATTACATGTACCTGTAATCTAAATCTACCATCTTTCCTACGTTCTTTGTTTGTAGATATCAATGAGTGCCGTCGAAGGAGAGGCCAGTGTGCATTCCGCTGTCAGAACCTGCCTGGATCCTTCCGGTGTCTCTGCCCTAATGGATACACCCTCACTGATGATGGCAGGCATTGTAGAGGTACGTGGGTTATGCAGGGTATTCTAGAGACTTGCATACCATATTATTATGCAATGTTCCTATGTGAACTTTCATAGAGAATTCTGAAACTACATGAGCTTGTCAATATTTGTAAATAAACTGTATTATAATATAAATAGCACTCGAATGGACGTAAATTGCGGTTAACATATATGTACACAAACGCACATAGTTTGCAAGAATCTTCAGGCAATTGAAGGAGGCAGACCTAATCAGAAGAATAAGAAGAAGCATTAACAGTGATTACATAGACCTTGGTAATTGGTCATTATGCCACCTGAAATGACAGAAAAAGTTGCGATTAATTTAAATTAATTGCAACTTGAAATTAATTACAACTCCTATGTCCTAAGTACACAGTAGCAATTTATTTCAGTTGCGATTGATTGAATCAATCGCAACCCTTTATAATACAGGGCCCTGGAAGCTTTAATCGCGTGTTAAATTTTTCATTTACCAAAAGATGTTGCCCAGCAGAGTACACCTTAATATTATATCCCAAATAGTGTAATGGATAGGTTTGCTGAAAAGCTGATTGATAGTTTGTCTTGTCATTCATTGTATATGAAATGCTGGATATGTAGAAGTTGAGTTGTATATCTCATTGTTTTTTTATAGATTTGGATGAGTGTGATACTAACCTTAACACCTGCCGCTACCGCTGCAAGAATCTCATCGGCAAGTTCATGTGCCAGTGTGATGAAGGCTACACACCGATTGGTGGGGATGGAAACAACTGCAGAGGTAGGTAGATTGGATTTTTTGGGTATGGGTATGTATGGGTAGATGGATAGACAGTCAGATGAGTAGATAGTTGATTGAATGGATGGGTGGATAGATAAATGGATAGATGAGAGGGATGGACAGATGGATAGATGATGGATGACTAGCTAGTTGATGAATGGATGAGTAGATAGCTGGATAGATGGATTGATGAGAGGGATGGATAGATGGACAGATGGGTAGATGATAGATTAGTAGATAGTTGATGAATGAATGGGAGGATAGATGGATGGATGGATACCGGTAGATGGATGGATGAGTGGGGTGGATAGATGGACAGATGAATAGATGATGGATGACTAGATAGTCGATGAAGGGATGGGTGGATGGATGGATGGATAGATGGATGGATGGATGGATGGATGGACAGATAATGGATGAGTAGATAGTCCATGAAGGGATGGATGGATAGATGGATGGATGGGAGGGATGGATAGTTGGACAGATGGGTAGATGATGGATGAGTAGATAGTCGATAAATGGATGGATGAATAGTTGATGGAAGGACGGGTGAATAGATGGATGGATGAGAGGGGTGGATGAGAGGGTGGATGAGAGGGGTTGATGTATGGGTAGATTGATAGATAGACAGATAGGGAAATGGGTAGATAATGGATAAGTAGAAAGCTTATTAAGGGATAGGTGGATAGACGGATGGATGAGAGGGAGGATGAGAGGGATGGACAGATGAGTAGATAGTTCATGAATGGGTGGATGGATGGATGGATAGATGTATGTCACTAGATCAGAAAGAAGATGACTGAAGAATTGAAGAGATTGGGGTACAGAATTTACAAGTTTCTGTGGTGAAGGCTTTTCATCCATTTGATAATGAAGATGGAAGTACCTGCAGAGGTGAGAAGGAGATGCAAGGGCAAATAAATGGATGCATATTGAATATTTACATATAGCATAACTGCCAACCATTCCTATTTTGGAGCAATGATTCCTATTTTGGGGCATTGAGACTAATCTTACAAATCATAGATTCCTCTCTTTTCTGAAAACTTCTGTGTAAAAGGTACCGGCATACAAAGCGACTGTATTCCTTATTTTGCCTTGAGGGTTTCCTATATTTTGCTGTGAAAGATAGAAAGGTATGCATTTATTAATCAATATCAGTATGTCAAGTACATTGATGATTTTGCTATTGGATCTTGTGCCACATGCAACTCAGAATTAAACTCACTGAAATCTCCCTTTTATTTACCAGATATCAATGAATGTATCACCAACCATGGTGTCTGTCAGAATGGACGCTGCAGGAATACAGAAGGCGGCCACACGTGTATCTGCAACCAAGGATTCACACTTGGTCCCTCTGGCAAAGACTGCATAGGTGAGTTGTCATCTTTGATGAAACCAGGGCCCTGTTTTCATGAAACTCAATACCAATACAAGTTACAAGCTAATGTTATAAGCTACTGAATCCTGGCGTCTGATTGGCTGAGAATAAATTTGTCATAGAAATTTAGTAGTTGTTATAGATACCAAGTTTTATGAAACAAACCCCTAAAGCTGGCCATCATTAGTGGCCCTTTAGTAAATTGAGATGACGTTTACAGATAAAGCTTTGTCAGAGAAATGCAAATAACAAAAAGGGGGAAAGTACAGATGAAATGTATGTTCATTCAAAAATGTTTTAAGTACGTATGTTGGATTGATTGTTCTTCCATCTGGATGTATCTGTTCATCATACATTCGAGGATGTTGATATTTCTTTCATTCATCATATCCTAAGCCAGAAGTATCAAATTGGATTCTACAAGCATCTCTATTAAAATATCAGACTAAAATACAAAGCTTTTGACTAAATCAATCCAAGGATGAAGATGACTTATGCTGTATTGAATTGAATTGAATTTCTTTATTGTCATGCACAAAATAAAATGAAGGCATATGCTTTCCTTATTTATGTGTATACTTTTTAAGGGGTTGACGTTCATAAGGCTAATTGCCCTTTTTGTTTACCCCACATTCCCATAAAATTTTGTTTGCTCCTTCCCTTTGTATTTTTCTTGTAATCAACCTTTTATCTGTATACCATGTTTGTATTTTTGAAAGGTTTTTATGGAGAATGAAATAAATGAAATGAAATAAACATGTTTCGACCATGACATGACAGATCGACGCACAGGTTTCTGCTACGCCTACGTGCCACCCAGTGGATGCGAGTCCAGCCAGGGAGGTATGCAACCAGTCACTATGGAATCATGCTGCTGCAGTGGCGGAAGGGCTTGGGGATCCACGTGCCAGATATGCCCTGTATATGGAACAAGTGAGTTTGTAGATGTTGGCTAAAAACCATATGTACAGTTTACGACTAAAGCTATGGTCACAAAGGTTCGTACGAACGATGCATTCGTACGAATCTCCCTGTTTTTCTATGGTCTTCCCAAATTTTCATGGTCTGAAAATCGTTTGTACGGCATTCGTAGCAGTTCGTAATGGCATTTGTGACCGAGGCTTTAATCATTCATACCCTTACCAATTTTTTTCAATTTTTTATGTATGTGAAAAATTGATTTGTCCCTAATTTATATTTCATGAGAATGTGACATATGACAGCTTACATCTAAAAGTATTCAATAAAGGCCCTAATTCAACCAGTTAACCTTTCATTGTTGAGTTATGTAAAGAAAGAAAAAAGAGCATCAAAATTACAAGGGGTTTGAATAATTTAGTTGTTAACCCAAGTTGCAGTCACACCTGTTAAATAGTTTTTATTCTGAAACTAGAGATTCTGAACTTTCTAATGATATGCAACACTTGTTGTGCTATTAGAGCAATCAATAACATCTATTCAGATAAATCATACTTTTCACTATATGGTGCTTTTCCAACTTCGATGTTATTGTTGATACCGGTATTTGTGTAATGACTGGAATAGTTGAGTTGATAATGAAGGACCTTTTTAAAAAATTCCCTCAATGACAGCATATACACAATATATACATTATCAAAAAAATTCATTATTGCTGCTGCAGTGGAATTAAATGTGTACCTAATCAAATTCATTGATCATTCTCTTTGCAGTTGAATACAACCGCCTCTGCACCGCCACCACGCCAGTGGATCCATGTCAGATCGTTCAGGGCTTGTGTGAAAACGGGCACTGTCTGGGAGGCTCCGGTGGATACCTTTGTCAGTGTAATCCAGGATACATCCTTAGCCCAGATGGCACAAGATGTGAAGGTAAAGAAACAGTTCCAAAGCTGGAATAGTCAAATGATAGATTAATATACAAATGTTGATTACTTTGAGGGGCATGGTTAAAACTATCACCCAAGGCGATCTCGGAACTGTACTGTGCCCCGGGATTAAGGTATGAAGGTACAGGAACAAAGCTGGAAAATTCACCCATCGGATGATAAATAACTATAGACATATCGATTACTTTGAGGGGCACGATTAAAGCTATTGCCCAAGATGATCTCAAAATTATACTGTACATGCCCGGAGGCCAAGATGTAAAGGTACAGGAACAGTTTCAAAGCAGGAATGTTCACTCATTGAGTAAGATCATACTAGATCATTACAAACCCGAGGTAACTTGACTGTAGTTTCTGGCAAATAGATATTTGTCTTTTGTTTGTTGTAGGATAGAGCAAAAAATGGAGAGAGAACATGGGTGGAAGTATAAGATAGGTTGGCCTAAAGGTGAAACGTAAAGGGAGAGGAGCAATTTTGAATACTTTGATTAACTTAATATAATCTACATGTGCTTGCCCGTCATTGTGGTTTAGATGAAGTCAAAAAAAGTAAAGATGCTAGCCAAAAAGTCATTCATGCGTCTGTACTAAAATTCTATCATGTACAAAGAGGTTAATGATGGAGAGGAAGACTGTGAGTGCAGGCAGGCAGGGCCGTCAGACCATGCACGGACCATCTTCTGAGCTCTGCCATGCTGGCTGACACATGCACTGGGAGGGACCTGGCAGAGGCCAGCGAATTGGCTCTTACTTTTGCTAGATATAGGTAGGAAGGCATGTGATCATTCTAAAAGATGATGACTGTTAATTTATCTTTACTCAAATTAATGCCAAGTTTAGCATTAATATTTATGTTTAATGATTACCAATATGGCTGATGTGATTTCACTCTATGCGTCTTTAATACAGATGAGAACGAGTGTAACCGTGCACCTCCTCCATGTAGCTACCAGTGTAAGAACACTCCAGGGAGCTTTAGATGTGGCTGCCCTCAGGGTTATCTACTCAGTGAAGATGGACTCACATGCAGAGGTAGGTTTCCGACTACACTTCGACATTAATTATACAATTATGCAGCACATGCAGCCAGTGACTGATTTCTGTTCTCACCCCCCAAAAAAGTTCTGACCTTTGACATATTACATATAACAGTCATGCAATAAATAGTAAGGAGCTTTTGCTTCTGCTCCTCTTGCAACACTTTTCTCAGAGGAACCTAGCATTGCATGAAAGTTATAATGTTATACATGGCTCATTTTATAGTGTGCGGTTAGTAGGAGTAAACCAATACTTTGACTCAATTTGATATAATACTGGTGTACCTAAGAATATTTACATGATTTTCAGATTTTCTTTAACATGCTTGATGCCGATATGATATGCAGATATGCTGAAGCATATTTGATAGTAGTAAGAAAATAATGTATGCTTATATTTGTAATTAATCTTTGTCATTATGATCTCATTGCTTTAATTAACATGTTATTACCTGTTTTGTTTCCTGTAATTTTGATGTTTGCTTTTACAAAACCTGTAATTCGGCTTTTTGAGCTGTGATTGATTTTTATTTCAATAAACCATTACTACTACCACATAGATCCTTTGGATGCTCTCAGATGGGGTTAAAGTGTCAACTTTTAAAAACTGTTTTCTTTGTTTAATTTCTGTTCTTGTCTACTTGCAGAGAAAGACGAATGTTCAATGGGAATCCATGAATGTCAGTTTGAATGCAGAAACACTCTAGGCGGCTTCCGATGTGTGTGTCCAGAAGGATATATACAACATGGATCTACATGTATAGGTATGGCATCTTAGTCTAGATATAAGTAATGCTATCACAAAGAAGAAATCCTGTCATGTATGAATTCTACATACACAGTTGTTATGAAGAAAGTGAATTTAAAACATTGAACTTTCATTAACCCTTACTGTACTCAGGGATATGTGAGTTTAAATGGATACCCCATCTAAGAGGGCCCTTTGAAGCACTGCGAGGCACCGAGAGTCTTTTTTTCCCCTATCATAATCCCCTTAATCCCCCTCCCGGACCGCACAGCTCGTAAATCTCACTCCCGAAACTGAGTGACATAGGGCTCGCGAAATGCATTGTTGGAAATACACATCGGCTGCTATCAACAAAAATGGCGGCATACAGTAGGGATGAGTATTTGCTAGGCGACGATTTAGACTTTCTGACTGGTTTTGAGGAAGATTTAATTTATGGGAAGTTGGAGACCAACACAAGTTTAATATGCACGTGTGAAATTCCATCAACGGAAAATCTTAATCGTTGCAGCAAACCAGAACGTATGGTTAAATGGTTTCATCGTGAATGCGTAGGCCACTCCAGCAAAACATAGATAGTTGATGCGTATTGACTACTAGCACTGCAGTACGTGTAAATTAATAGGCAGCATTTGAATACATGAATAGTCAATACACTCACGACATACAAATGCACATAATTATACCGATGCGGTTGATCGGCAAGTTTGACAGTAGACTCACGATTTTAATTTTTAAATTATTCTTTCTAACATCGGAAAGTTTAACAAATTGTATTTTAATGCTCTTTAGGTGTCATCAATTGTCACTAAAGTACTGACTTTGAGTGAAATCAGTTGAGTTTTGTACAGTGATGTTTGAAATGTTGAGAATCAATAGCACAATTTTTAATATACGGCCAGGGTAGTAATGCAGCTATGTGTGTTTCCTCCCACAACATCCAGCATGTACAGCCCAGCGAGCACGGCGGCTTGCGCGTCGCCTGCCCGTACTCTGGGTGAAAAGTGGTGATGAATTGACAACTTCTAACCCTCATTAAACCAAATGCGCAAATATACAACACAATTTCATTTAGTTATTTTAAGAGATAAACTTATGGACTACCTTCCTAGCTATGTAAAAATTTCGGAAACTTTCGGAAAATGTCAATAATTAGAAGAGAACACGATGATGATGAGAAAGTTGCATTCACTCTAACTCACGATTTCCTTGGTCGATTTCGCTGGTTCAGATGGCTAAGTCTTCAGTAGAGTTATCCGAGCACAGCGAAAGCATTTGATAACCAATAGAAGGTTGTATTGTGCCATAAGTTGTCGATTTTTGTATTTTATATGTTATAGCTATATACATCTTCCATGAGTATGACGTCATTTTCTCGGTGACTCGCATGGCTTCAAAGCCTTTTTTTTACGACCAAGTGTTTGGAGAGCTTAGGGAAGCAGACCGTGTTGCGTAACATTTCGTAACATTTGGATTGCCAGAGGGCATCTGTGGTCTGATAAGGGCGGCTGTTGATGGATTTGATGGCTGAAGAGGGTTACATTACTTGTTGTTAAGCCAAGTTAATCTTGAATATCTTTCCCTCGGGAAATTCTTTCGAGACGGAATATCCATTTAACTCACATATCCCTGCTGTACTGGGCTATTTTGAGCACCCACTGACTGGGGGGGGGGGGGGGGGGCCTGGGAGGCCCCCCCCCTATGATCTCGGCCGTCGATTGTCCGATGAACACGAAAATTTGCATGTTTGGAGATATTTACGTAAGGAACAAGATGGTATAATTTTTTCCGAATATGCAAATTTTTGTCGTTAGCCTAATTAATTATGCAAAATGCACTAATTTTATGCATTTTACCGAAAACGTGTCAAACTCCACTTTTTGAATGTTGAAACTCATTATTCATATGAAACTTCTTTTCTAACACAAAAAAGTTATTTTAATGTAATTAATAATGATAATTTATGCAAATTTTGATGCGATTTTCATTTTTTTTTTTTTTTTTTGATGACATGCGCATACTAATTGTTATGTAACGCCTTACAGGTATATCCGATTTCGACGAAAATGGTATCAAAATGTGCGTAAGACTTGAGGGGAAAAAGTCATGAAACGACAATTCAAAATTCCAAGCGGTTGCGGCGCAATCTCTGAAAATGTCGTGGGGGGGGGCCTCCCAGGCCCCCCCCCCCCCCCCAGTACAGTAAGGGTTAAGGTAAATTACGTGCATTTTAGGTACAGGCCACGGATGTAGATTTGGAAAAAATTGATTTTTCTTTAAATGTCTAGAAATGGTTGTAGAGTTAAATAAATGGTTAGAATATGAGAGTCACTAACCAGATCATCCTTGTTGCTGTAATCAATTAACGTGAGAGTTCTCAGACAAATCAAATCAATTTCTCTATACAATTTTAAAAGAATCCTATTTTGCCTTTCCAATTCAGTGCTAAAGTTTGCAATGCACAGTGAAATAGTTTCTTGTTTTAGAATTTCCATAAACATTAATGTAGTTTTTTAAGTACAGTTATTCTTTACTACTTTCTAATATTGTATTCCTAGATGTGAATGAGTGTATACAGACTCCAGATATTTGCGGTGCATACGGTACTTGTCAGAACACACAGGGTGGGCATAGGTGCGAATGCCAGAGAAACTTCCGACCAGATCCATCCACTAACACATGCGTCGGTAAGTTCAATTCATTTCAGTTCGCAGCAATTCAATTTGGTTTATTTTATTATACCAAGTAGTTCCTGGATTTATTGTCTGCAATGTAAAATGAGAACATCAATAAAAAGTTAAAGTACATAATCCATTCAAATGGAAATCTTACTTGAATGAAATGCTATCTTTGAAACAAAACATTTCTAAATATACAACAACAACAAAAAAATCGCTCTACTTTTGGTTGTAGAATTACTATAACATCAATAGAAGTTATATAATAAAGTATCCTTTGATAATAGCAAATGCTGTCAGTTGTCAGGCATTTATTAAAAATTCATCTGCTGCATTATTTAATGTGTAATTGAATCTGAGAATGAGAATGATGTGATGGTATTGCAGATAATAGGATAGTAATTATGATCTGAATCATGATTAGGAATATAAAACATTTACATGTTGATGATAGTATATACTGTGATGGATTGTGTATTTACATATCAATTAGAAAAGAAAAGGATACATCAATAACATTTTTCACAACAAATAATATTACAGATAAAAGAATAGTAATGATGCAGAATCATGATGAAGACAATAAAGCATTCATGTGTTGATGAAAGTATGTACTGTGATGCAATGTGTATATCAATGAGAAAAGAAAAGAATACATTAATGACAATTTTCACAGCAAATGAGAACCCAACATCCCCTTCCCCCTCCCAACAAGAGAGAATAAAAACAAATTGTAGACGGTTTGGCTTATTTTCTTATTTCACGTTTGTCTTTTTTTTTAGACATCAATGAATGTGAGGATCAACCAGACATTTGTCAGTATGGCTGTCAGAATACCATTGGTGGGTACAGATGTGTGTGTCCAGATGGCTTTGAAGAAAACTTCTATGGAAGGTGTATTGGTGAGTAACAGATACTGTAATTTCCTGCGAGACATTGGTGTTAGACACACAAATAGCTGCTGTAAGGAACCCAAATTTTCACTGCGGAGAAACCTAGATAGATACTGTAAGAGGCAATAGTAATAATAATAATAATAGGCATTTCTATAGCGCCGTCTATCTAGAAATTCTATTCCGAGGCGCATTTATGACTGATTTCAATAGTGCCGTCTATCTAGAAATTCTATTCCGAGGCGCATTTATTATTACCCCGGCTTTAGCCTAGCTGCCATTATAGCGCTCCAGCATTTCAAGGAATTAATTCCTGCCAGGTACCCATTTATACCACCTGGGTTGAGTGTGCCAAATGTAGATCAATATCTTGCCAAAGGACATTAGTGCCCAGCGGGACTCGAACCGCGAACCTTGTGATCGACAGTCCGGTGAGGTATCCACTCGACCACGAAACCTCTACTCTAGCAGTTATAAAGAAAAACTCAGTTTTCTATAGTGAGCTCGAAATTGTTGTGAGAAATTCAAACAAGTGGTATGATAAACTCATAATAGTAACTATGAGGAACTAGGTTATTGCGAGAAACTCACACATTAAAGAGTAAGCAACATGGAAACTTACCCTCTGAAATCAACATTTACCGTGAGAAGCTCAGACAGTTCTACTCAAATATCAATGTATGTATTTTTAATGAGCTAACATATATCAGTATAGATAGGAAAGGATATATCGAGGTCTAGAAGCTGAGTGCTTTGAAAAGGTCCTTGAAAAAGCTAAATCATTCTCTTGCTGATAGGCATGTATATAAATTTGCCAAAGACAATAATGAACTATAATGTTGTTCGTTCGTTCGTGTCTCCTTAGATCAAGATTACTGTAATCTTGATCTTCGGAGTAGTTGCTACAACCGGCCGTGTCAGACACTTTGCCCCAGGGTGCGAGACAGGACTGTAGCGTGCCCCCATTTAAAACAATTATACAATAACAGTTAACATTACATTTAATTAATAGTATGAAACTATTAAAATTACTTTCATGTTACGGGAAAAAATATGATATATATATATTATGAATCAATTGATTTGGTCGATCCAGTTCGATGGCACAAACACGGCACTAATGATATAATGTTGTAGAACACGTACTTTGACAATGAATGTGTATTTTATGTTGTCTATATTATGTTTGTATTTATAGATAACAATGAGTGCAGACAGTCCGGTAAATGTGGTCAAGCTACATGTTATAACACTCAGGGTAGCTACCAATGCGGATGCAACAATGGATATGCATTTGATCAACAGAATCTTGCTTGCAATGGTATGTCAAAAAATGGTCATGTAATTCATTTCTATAAAACTGGATTCGTCGTTTTATCAGATTATTTGATCCTTATCATAGGTTATTCACCACTGGCTCTGTATGAATATGTTCTCATTGAAGTGAACCTTACTCCTTCTATTTAAGTTTAACTCTATTATGCATATGCTAGCAATGGGGGAAAGGAAATAAGCTGTTGTGAAAATAGAGTTGATTCATACAGGGCCTTGTGGATTTTTGTGTATAGCGCCATCTTGTGACACTGAGGTGCATTACCCAGAAATACAGGGTGGTAACATTTTTGTGTCATCCATTAGGTTATGGTGCTTCAAACTTCCCCATTTTGCCAAAACACATTTCACTATTCTATATTATTGTTATAGGTGTCACATAGTGAAATCAATGTCAACAATATTTCCAATGGGTTATATCAACTAATTTTTTCGTTTTAATGGGGAAATAATGTATTGGTACTCAGCACACAATATACAACTAGATTTTGTTTTTGTTTTGGTTTATTTATTTATAATGGCAAATAGACGGATGTGAATGAAAATGTACCGGGTACTTTGTCCTTAGACCAGGCTTTTTATTCACAGTTGTTTCTCCATACCCAGGAGAAGTAAACGGCTAGCTGGTAGGATTTATTATTTGCAATGCACTGGCTGTCAGAGCTAATGCATAATTCTCAAAAATAATTTAGAAGTGAATATTATGTTTCAAATGTGAAATTACTTCATCACCATTATTATTATTTTTGTTGTTTTTGTTGTTGCAGATGTGAATGAGTGTCAAGGGTCATATGGCAATACGAACAGTCCATGTCAGTATAGCTGTGATAATACAGATGGTAGCTTCTCCTGCGGCTGTCCTCCAGGGTACACCAGCGTGGTGCAGGGGTGAGTTCACACTGTCATCATGCATGCAAGGTTATGAAATATATGATAAGATTGTATAAAAGTTACTTACAGCCCCACTGTCCTACTTGTAGCTACTTGCTCCATCTATATAGAAAACAATCCCTAAGCAGTGCCCATTGGTCCCCCATGATCCTCTTTTTCTTATGTTAATTGAGAGCTGAGTTGATGAGATAGCCACCTGTCAGTGACCATGCTGGGTGGTCTAATCCCTCCTGGCTAAACTAGTACAGATGGGCTTTAAAGGGACTTGGTAACATTGTTAAGATGAGAGAAAATGGTGTTAAGGTAGTGACTTCAATGCTAGATGTACAATGAAAGATACTCTGAAAGTTTGAGTGAAAACAGACCATTAATAATTGGGAAAAAGTGATTGGATCGATTCCAAAATTCTGCCAACTATATTATTATAATTTATATAAATTTTAGGTGAATGTTAATCGTCACAAAGCAATAAATTTGCCTTATATACCTTTCCAAACATTTAAGTGCTGACAGATTTTAAAAAGCCTGTTCTATGTCATATTTTCATGGAAAACAGTTGGGATACCAGTAATTCAAAAATTGGTTGTGAGAATTTTCTGTTAGAGGCTTTCTTTGATGCTTTCAAACAAAACCATACAAAACTTTGTGGTTTAAGAGAGAATTTTTTCAGGATTTATTGCATGTTAGAGAAACTAACCCTCTAACATGTAGAAACAGTAGAAAGAATATAATTAGTAACAGTAATTCATACAAAAATTAGCCAGTTTTTTTCTTCAACTTTCAACAATGTTACCGATTCACTTTTAGAAATGTCACCAGATGGGAAAGCACATTACATTTTAAAATATGGGACTCTGGGGACTCTGTGAAGATTTAATAGGGGCAACAGATATTGTTTTCTAGTTTCTACATGTATATTATATGTGAAATGTAGTTAGTTTTTAACATGCTTTTTGCCGATCAGAACATTTCTGAAGACTTCTCTTCTTCCTGTTCTTAATTGCAATTTTCCCCAAAATACGATGTAGATTAAGAAATAAGAAAGAAAGAGAATACTTTTTTGTACAAAGTATAGGCACTCCCAATTATAGGCCTAGCATTTCTAAATCTTGGACAAAAGGTCTACTTCCTATGTTGTAAACAACGACCATAATACTTTTAAAAGGCCCTGTCTGAACCATTAGATGGCTATTAGCACACTGCAGGAAGCTCAAACAAAAGACAAGATCTTTTAAAAATTTAGTTTTTATGGACTTGGGACCTATCCAACCATGATGACAAAGGCCTTTGATAGAAGGGATTAGCTGGGAGGAATGTGAAGAGTTGGGGGCACCTTACTTGCTTGCATGCCTTATTGCCAGTGTTTGTTTCTCAGGAAGTTTCAACAAAAGATATTGGAACAAAGCACTCTTAACTATTCAACTCAAATACATGTATAAAGCTTACACTATGAAGTATTATACCTGCAGGCAGTTGTAGGTCCCAGTTAAGTTTAATACAAGTTCAGCACATGTTACAAAATTCATTTTCACCACCATGTTTATTTCACATTGTTGTGCAAGTGCAGAATAATATAGACAAAGGGCAACAAACTTCCAATCATGTGATATACACTTATGTTTCCCAATATTCACACTCTATGTCTTATTTTATACCAGTACATGGTAACAAGTAAGAGGAATTTTGAATTTATTTTCTTGACCGAGTATTTATGTATTGATTAAAAAGGGAGGAGGGTATTTCTCTAGAAAGTAATATATACAAATCATCCCTGCCCAGTCAATTTTGGACTTCGAGTTTGTTTGAAAGAGCAGTTTAAATCTACCAGCAATCATATTTGCTGGCCAAACATGTGTACCTCGATTTTTTGCATGGGAAGATTTTATGTAGAGCAATTAATTTGTAAAGTACTATAAGAGGGTATGCCATAGAGCATCAATACAGATTTTTATCTACCAGTTTATATTTCACTTTAAGTAGACTAATAAACAAGAATGACCTATGAACTGTGAGGTATCTTTGTATGTCAGTGTGTGTAAACATATCAACCTCCAAACGATATAGATCATGGACAGTTTGATCTCTAGTCAACATGCTTTTCTTTGTTATCAAGATTTTAAAAGCAGGGTGGCCAGTTTGATCCAGTTTGATCCAATGACCCCGTTTTTGTTTTACCTGAGAGAAATTTTTAGATTTTGTTAAATCGTTTTCTATGTCATATTTTCATGTTAATCGCTGTCCATTTCTTTACCTACCTATCCCCCCCCCCCAAAAAAAAAATATATATAATGATAATAATAAAATATTAACGAATCAAAGAAGAAAAAAAGAACGAAGTAGGAAAAATGGCCATGTATCAGGTTAATAACGGTAACATCTATCCATTTACTACCAGCAAATCCAGTCTTCATATGTGGAAGTACAGACCTCTATGCACTGTACAGATTTAATTTAAAAGCACACCCGGACATTATGCAAAAACAATATTGTCCATCCTTGGGTAATCTCCTAAGTCTGTCTGTTTAGAGACCAAGATGTTGATGCTTTGAAGATAAGCATTTTACCTAATAAACACAGGTATACTGATTAACTTGAAAAATGGTCATCTACTGATCAAAAATATTTACAAGAGATGTAATCTTCAAGATAGTGAGATGTTTTCAAATTATTTTTTTTCTCATTTGTGTACCCATATAGGAGGATTAAGCTCAGTCAGGGTCTCCATTCACAAAAATTACTTAATAACTGGAGCTTTAGTTATTTAGAATGTGCCCAGGGACACATGCTGTAATTTAATTTCCAATCAAGCCTTTGTTTGTTGTACATTTGGCTAAGGCTTTACTGGCAAACGTTTCACAGGAAGCTAGGACAGCTACAGTTTCCTGTGTACAGGGTTTTGACATGCTAACAATCATAATAACCAGCAACAGTGAGAGGCTTAGATGTGTCATCGTTGACAATCAAAGAGCGGTCTGAGTAAACTATAGTCATATTAGAATGAAGATCGAACATACATACTAAGACTTCAAACAAATTCCTCAATCATACATGTTTTATTTATGTTTTTTAGCATGAAATGTGGTTTGTTTTTAATGTTGATAATGAAATGCAAAACTCTCCTGCAACCCAACAACATTTACACTGAAATAATTGTTCAGTACTACAAATTAGTAAAATTGTGACCAACAAATTGCTAGGAAATTTGTGTTAGCTATAAAGTAATGAGCAAGGAAAAGCACTTAGTAGATCCAGAACTAGTACATGTACATATACATGTAATGTAATTACTCAAGTATGTGTGTTTTTATGTTTTTTCAGTGTATGTGATTTTGTTATAATTTTTTAAAATTCTTTTATCTATGTTTTTACGTTTTGCTTATTCAAAACTTCTGTCTACTATGTGTCAGTGTGCAATGAATAATTCGAAACGATTTCAGCCAGTTTCTTGTGAAAAACATCCATTTCTAGTATTAATAATTACTGCATACTGGTAAAGTCTATACCCTCCATTGTTAGGAAATCACTGCATTCTTTTAAATATCCAAGGTACTGCATAGAGCATGCCGATTTTTTTCTTTCTCTCCGATGGCACAGATAAGAGCTCTAACCCAAATATTGAATTTGTTTTATTTTGACAGAGCTTGTGTGACAGATCGAGACTCTGTCCAACCGTGCTACAGCTGCAATAGACAACCAAGACAGCGCAGAAGTGCTACAGAGACTAACGACAAGGAATCAACACTGATATCCAACAACACCGCCATCCTGTATCATATCCCGCTCTCCAAAGCCGTCCCCAAGCAACAAATCGCTAAATTCAAGACCGGCTACACCAGGATCGTGGCCCGCTACGAGTACGTCATCCTGAGCGGTAATGAAGACAACATCTTTATGATGAAGAAGAAATCTGATGGCATGTCCCTGCTACGATTCAGCAAACATGTGAAGGCCACGGGTCTCTATGAACTTGAAATTGAAGGTGTGCTGAAAAGGAAAAATGACACGATATTAGCTGAAGTTCAAACTGTAGTAGAGGAACCTGTTGCAATGCAGATTCAAGTTCAAATAGTAGCAGATGAAGAAGAATAGAGTGTCTCCCAGTAGTTATTATGTTTTTCATAATTGTTTTGGCTTAAATATTGATTCAGAATTGCTCTATCCAACAAGGATAATGCATGGAAAACATACCAATATGTGATGGATACGGTATAGCACGTCACATATCAAGACTCTAAAGTATGTAGGTTAGATAGAAGAGTTACTAGACAAGCAGAGGATAAGAGAGAGTTTTGCTTACTCAACAACAAAAAAAGACTTATCGGTATCTGGTTTCCGTTTGTTTGAGTGGCAAATATGAATAAGTAATTTCGGATGATGAAATTGAATTTTTAACACAAAATTTGGAGACTTAAGAAATTCCTGATTTTTTAATATTTATCTGTAGAATGATTTTAAAGATAATCATTACGGTTAACAAAAACCAATACGAGAGAGAAAGGAATTAATATTCGTGGTGCATCATTTGGGTAATTATTACCAGTGATCCTGTTTATGCATGTAATAACACGAAACAATTCTGTACACTTATTATAATTAAAGCGAAGGGTATATGCAGTATTATTCGGGTTAACAGATAAGGCTGACATTAAGTAACGTAGCAAAATACTCTTGACATGCTCAAATGCTGCCTAATCTTCATATGTGTGCTATTTCTTTCAATCACCTGTTGTATTATATGTACTGTAGGTAGGACTATATATATATGGGTTATGGGCTGGGAGCGTTATGACTAAAAAAAACATTTGTATCATTGTGTTTGTCTATTATGTAGTAGAGTTTTAGATACGTAAATATTCAGTCATGAAAAAAGAAGGTATATCACCAATAATGATGATTAATACAAGCTTGCTTAAAGAGTGAGTGTATTTTTTAAAACTAATATGCATGTACAGTTATTAATATGTGTTTTTGTTTTCATTTATCTAACTTATCAGTAGATGGCTATATCGGGCATTCTTTTACCCGGATATGTCTGTTTTTTACTCATTTAATGTAAAAAGAGCAGTTGATATGATTCGTATTCCAAAGGTGCCTTCAGTAATCATTAGTGTCTTATATGGAATATGATTATCGAGCAATAAAGAAAACAAAGTTTGATGATGAAAAATGATCTTCCATTTTCTAACTATGACAAATATTGTTCACTTTTCAAACAATTATAGCTACATAAAACAAACAGTACATTGTGAGCCTTCAAGCACATTGTTTTTTGAGAAACTTGTTGAATTCAAGTCGAACCATTCCATTGATTAGCCCAAACATTCCGCATCTAATTAACTCAAAGTGAAGTATTACAATGCACTGCACATCATGTTTGCTGTCAACTATGCAAGGCCTCCTCTACTTTAATCATATTGATTTTGTATCCAAATTAGCTGTGGGTTGTGGGATAGAAATTAACTCAAACATTTAACACATAATGAATGTGATTATTTGTCAAAGATGTCTGTGCTTGCTTTTTAGAGGCAATATTTATGTAATAATAATAATGTTTTGCATAGATTTATTCTTCCAAATAGCATGGACAGAACCATCATAATTTATACATGTATCTACACATGGCAAAATGAATGAGGAAGTAAACTATGTCATCAAAAGTAATCGTGGAATTGATAGAACAGTGTTTATAGCTTTATCCTCTTTCTCCATGCAGTCACTGTCATTGTGGGGAAAACCATTCTATTCTAACATGAGTACGATGAAGAAGAAGGACAAATTATTCATCATTGTCATTGTGTTCAGATACAAGCAAGGATGCCAAGATATGAACTCAAGACACTATCTGAAAAGATTGTTGTACTTTAGAGTCATTAAGTGATAACAATATTCATTGTAACAGTCTCACAAACAAAGGTGTACATGTAATAAATTGCGTGAATAAATAATAAATGAAACAGTTTTATGACTTGAAAATTTAGTGTACTGTCGTAATTTCGCAGTGAACTGAAATCATTCCGTTATATGTATGGTCAGACACGACTTTATATTTAACACACCAACAGAAAAGGCATACAAAATTATTGATTTAAAGGTTTATTGGTTTTTTTTTGGCTTTTGAAACAGAATTATTTTTTTATTTCACAGTGAATTGAATGTAACACTTTTTTCCTGACATTTTGCCAAACAAGAATTAGTATCTATCGCCAATGTGATGGTACTACATTGTACTTGAAAGGTGAATTGCTGTTTGGTCCACAACCAGTTCATCTAGTGTTCACATGGTCTATCTAATAATCATTTCGTCAACTTATCATTTTTTATGACAGCCATTTGGTCTAATCTCCATTTAGTCTATTGCATGTTCATTTGGTAGTTGTTGTCATTCTCAGTTTGTCCAATGCCAATTTTGTCCACCATCCATTATCATAAATTCTCGTAAACATCTGATTATTATTATAGTTTATGATTAAATGATTCATAGACCATATGGATGGTAGACCAAATGGGCATTAGCCAAACTGAATCAGACCTACTGGTAATTAGACTAAATAAGCAAATAGAGCAAATGGGTAGTAGAATTATTTGAGATTAATTAGACCGACTGGAAGTTAGTCCATTTAAATAGTAGAAGTGCTGGGTGTAGACCATATGGGAATAGACCAATTTGGATAGACCAAACGGCTATAAATCGTTTGGAAAGGGGATTGTTTGTATCCTTGAAACTAAGACTATAAATCAAACCTGCCAGCATTACACAAACAAAAAACATAAATGGTGAACTATACATAAATGGGACCAAACTCCATCAAAACATGTTTTTAGTTCAGGGGAAAATATTTAAACAAAACGAGTCTTAGTGACAAAAATGTTTATCTTAGGGAAATTCAAAGAAATTATCTTTTCCGCATAATGAATATTTGAATATTGTGTCTATTAAACCTATCCTTATGTTAAATTTTCCCTAATAGATAGATGGTATCCGGTATATTCAATGTTCGCCTACAGCAAACTCAGTATTATAATTTACATTTATACAATTTTCTTCATCGTCCCCCAAAATATATAGTTGCAACGGGAAATGGAAATATACAAGCTACTTGTAATATCAAAAGATACCAAACCATATCATGACACAGAGTCACATGGAACTTACAGGAAAAGATTTACTTCTATTATGACATAACAGGAACGAATGTTAAAGACTGTTAAAATTATGCTGACGGGAGCATTTCTTGATATTTATTCGCCTGTTCCATATTTGGTTCGCTTTTTGCAATGTTTGTTTTGAAGTACGTCATCAACTCATAATGGGACAAACATGTATTGGCCTATATATTGGCTAACCACAGGGTGGAGAGGAAAACAAATCCGCTTTTGACTGCCTCGATATCTTCATCTATTAGATCCGCTTTCGATTGCCCTATGAAATCCTGAAATCTGATATATATTTTCGAGTAATATAGTTTCTATATCCATCGTGTACTTCATTGGAATAGATTTCATATATCCTATACGCACAACATACAGTTGTTGTTTTTTAATCTTAAAAGGAATAACACATAATATTGCTATACCGTCATGCATCCCCCTTTGGGTACCTCAACAGACTTGTCTGTACTTGGTTTGCATGTATGCACGTACCACATCAAATTGTCCGTCAACCTTGATCGGCCTCGCTGATTAAACAGGCGGGAAACGTGGACCACCGACATGCAATCCAATGGCATATCAAGTCGGAAACTGCTAGTGACAGTCGTGGTAATCGGGGGAGGAAGGGGGGGGGGGTTGAGAGTTTAATCACCTTCTCCCCCATATATCAACAGTAAATAAAGAGAGAGTGAGGGAGAGACAGAGAGAGATATATATTTTAAAAAATAAAAAATAAAAAAAATATTTAAAAAATAAATAATGACAATAAAATACTATAATTATAAGATAAAAATATAATTTGAAGGGAAAAAATTAGATAAAGAAAAATCTAGCGCTCCGAAAATCATTCTCCTGGAACCGCTCCTGATTATGAGTCGTTGAAAATATCTAAAACGGATACAATGGGATCGATCGATGGTGCTTTAAAATGGCTATGACCTAATCTTATTTGCATTGAATCATTATTGTATGCAAAATCATACCACCAAAACTCAAAGTAGGATCCATTGTTCAAAATGCAATATGCTGCAATGAATCATGCTTCGTGTATTTGGCTCCCCGCCTATAGAGCTCTTTCTTTTCCAAGTGTGCCTACATGTATTATGTTTGCTTGTTAACAGACATGTCTTCGCTCATAATGTACAATGATATATAAATGAGTCACATTGCCAAATTACATGTAAAAACATGCCTTTAGTTCGTAACGTATGGGCTACGTTTAATTATGATGGACAGAAGTTTCCTTTAAAAAATAAATAGGACCCACTGCTGTCTGTATCGCTGTGTCTGTGTTATCTGTAAGATATATTCCTATACAATAATGGCTGCAATGGCATAATCAGGGATGTGAGTGCAGCAAACTAAAAAAAGAGGAGATTTGCAAAGCGTAGCGAGCAGACTCATACCCAATGGCTGGGGGTCCAGGAACAAAGCCCCTAATGGGGGTCGAGGGGGCAAAGCCCCCCGAAACCAGAGGTTTTTGCATTTTAAAATGTAGAGAAAACACTATTTCATAGGGGTAAGATTATAATTTTACAATGTTTTAAACATTTAATTTTCCATATTATTTACAATATACATAATAGAGTACATAGAGCATCATTTACTAAATTTCTTCACCATTCCATATGATACCAAATCCAGAAACATCTTCTATTATGGTCTACAATAAAAAATGATTAACGTACCTAAAGTTAAGTATTTGATGCTCTAAGTATTTCTCATTTGCTAGTTCTTTACTCCAGTCATTTTTTTTTCAGTACTTTTTTGCTACTAGAAGGTAGTTCATGCATTTCAGATTTCCTTTTCTCCACTTTCTTCATCAGTTTATGTGTGTGCTCCACCCGTGCCTTGTCAGCATCTTCAATTGCTTTCTCCTTAGTTTGTTTCTTTGAAGGACAAGCAGACTTTCTGGGTACAGTTTGTGACATTCCAGACTTGTGTTCCTTTTCCTGTACATATGACTTGTATGCTGATCTCATATTCTTGCAGAGTTTGGGATTTACCTGATCTTTCAGGTAATTTTTTCTTCTGAAATATCTGATTCCTGATTTTCCACTTGCTGTTAACTCATACTTCACTGTTTGTATGGATGAAAATGTTTCAATGTGCAAGTTGGGCCTTTCAGTGTTTAGAACATTCCCCATTATACTGAAAGATGACTCCACCTGTGGTCCATGAAAGCAACTAACCAGTGCCAGTGCCACTCTTGTCATAACTGGATATTTCTCTCGTAATGAACTCCAGAATATGTCTATTCTCTCTTCTGTATTAACAATTTCTTTGTCTGTATTATACTGCCTTGCTTCCTTCTCATATTCATGAGTTTGCACATCTTTCAGAGCAAATGCCACTAATTGTGGTAGCTGGAGTAAGCGCTGGAGTGTGATTGTGTGGCCTCTACATGCTGGATCAATAGCTGAAGCACACCTCAGCAGTTTGTTGTTCACTGGCATCTTTCTCTGTAAGGTTTGACCACATTTCAGATATGCAGTCTTTAGCTTGTTCACTAGTTCACTTGCAGCAGGTCCCTGTAAATTCTCCTTGATGTACCTGACGAGGAACACCGCATTGTCAGGTAGTATGTTCTCCTCACTCACATTTACTTTATGCAAGGCTTGTGTGTTCAAGATTTCAGGTTTAATGAAACATACAAGAAAGTCCTTCAGTAAATCCTGCTGTTTGTCATTGAGTTTGTGGACAAGTGGTGTCACAGACTGAAAATACAGGACATACTTCTTGAGCATAGGAAGAATGGAGGTGTAAATGTGGAGAAGTACTTTGGTTTTACTCGGGGTATGGAACAGCTTCTTCACAATCCTCTTCTTACGGTCTTTTCCAGCCTGGGTCATTGTTTTTGTCTTATTTGACATTTTAGACTGATGTTTACAGATTTCCTTCTTTACTGATTCACTGATTGAATGTTTTTGATACATGCTATCAACAACTGGGAGATAAGTTGAACTGTCTGATCCAGACAAAAAGGGATAGTAAAAAAGTATCAGAGCATCTAGCAATCGAGATGTATCTACACAAACATCGTATACAGAAAGCCACCTATGGGGCACATATCGCTCTGGAATTGTTGCTTTGATGCCCAGTGCATCACAGATGAAACGCAAGACCTCTTTTTGGTCACTGGACCACTTGAAATCAGTATAGATGTCATTGAGAAGTCCCTCGATGTAGTTATCAAATCCATGGCAGAAGGCTTTTGCAGCATTATGTGCGTGGTGGCATGAGTCTCCATCTATGTCAAGCAACTGAGGAGCTTTCTTACTTCTAATGCGTGTTTCAAGTCCACTTTTTGAACCGCGCATGACGGCACAAGAGTCCATCAAAATAGAAACCAAGTTCTCCCATTTAAGGGAATACTTATCAAATAGAGCTACTAAATGATTGTACAGAGTCTCGCTGTTTACGGTCACTACTTTAAAAGATGACAGATGTTTTGTGACTACTTTGTTCTCCTTCTCTGAAAAATAACTGACTAGGACAGTTACAACGCGTTGATTTGTCTCACTTGTGCATTCATCAATATTCAGTGAGAAGTGAGAGGATTTCAAATCCTCAATGAGTTCTTCATGAAATGTTTTTGATAATCCATGGGTCATCTTATACGAAGCTGTAGTTCTGTCCATTGATAAATTTTCGAGCACTTGTTTATCTTTGGCAAGTTCTTGGTTAAGATGAATAAGATCATTCACGATTGAAAATGGCAGGGAATGTTCAGCTGTAAACGCAAGTATGGTTGCTTCTGCATATGCCTGTCTGTCGGGCAATGACACATTTGGCTCAGAGAGTCCACCTTTCAACTGTTGTTCATGCTTATCCAATTGTTTTTTGAACATGGGGTGAATTCCATATGTTGATGTAGTAGTCATTGGTTGTTTTTGACCTACAAGACAAACAAAAAAAAAATATATAAATAAATGAATAAATACAAAAAAGGCAAACTCATGAACAAGGTTACATTCATATACATGCACCTGCCCAAGTATCACTGTACTCACCCCAAATTCTTTGAAAATAAGTATGTTCTGTACGAAATAATGCATGACAATATATGCCAACATTTATATGTAGAAATGAACAAATCAAATTCCTGCCCACACACACACACACACACCCATCACATGAAAATTTGGGCAGCATAACACCCCCCTAGGCACTGGCCAGCAAAATCACTGATGCCATTCAAATGACATGATTTGACACATGTAACTTGAATGTACCAGTCTTATTAATAAAACTTTCCAGTATAATTATAAAAATGCATAGGCCTACAGCACAAACAAACAACAACAAAAAACACACACACACACAAGAAAACAATTTGATCAGTTAAAGGATTTTGAGGGGTCCGCGATTCTAATTTCTAAAATACAATTGTAAACTCACCTGGAAGTAAAGTATTTGCTGCTCTCAGTTTCAAAACTTTTTGGTGTGCAACAGAGTCCAAATGATCAGTCAATGAAACTCGTCCACGAGAACCATATTTGCACTCCTTATCACACACTACGCACACGGCGTAGCCAGCTTTTTTTACAAGACGGAAAGAGTGAGAAAGTTTTTGATCTTTGTGCGTGAAGTCCATCCAAGACCATTTCCATGGATTTTTAACCAGTGGATCCCGCTTATCTTCCTCCAATGATTCCGAGTCCAATTTCGTTCCTCGCTCAATAAAATTCCGATCTCGAGTTGCCATGTTGTCTCATATTTCACAGATTTTCTTTGAAAGTAATACATATTTCCAAAAGAGAACGCCGATTCTGATTGAAATATCGTAACAAAAATCAATAGCACACTGCACGAAGACATGTGAATCAATGCAAACACCGTACCGTAGATAGTATAGCGATCGAAATGCACGGTACGCCCGGCGCACGCGGCGCGCTGAGCTAGCAATACTCGATGCAGGCGCTGTACTATCTTTGAAGCAGGCGCGCGCGCGCGCTTTTGCTTTTGTATTAGTCTCGCATTCGCAGACCCTTAAAGTAATAAGTTGTCTTGGGGCAAAACGCGGATTTTTTCAATGGAGAAAATAAAAACGCGACGGGGCGATCTAAAAACGCGGAAATTCGCGGAAACGCGGAACTCTCACATCCCTGCATAATATTCAATTCCTATATCACTATATTACCTTTGGGTTTTCATTATGCGTTTCTTACTAGTCCCGACTATATATGATGTAGGCCTAAATCGGCCTATATACATTTCCCACTATAACACAATCACCATTCGTTTAAAGAGAGAGAGAGAGAGAGAGAGAGAGAGAGAGAGAGAGAGAGAGGGGGGGGGGGCAGGACAAAGATATAAAAGAGAGAAGTGGAAAGTAAACATAGTAGAATAGAGCGAATAAGAGAGAGAAGAAGAAAAGGAAACAGATGAACAATGTCGACCTATTTGGGCGCTCTCTCTCTCTCTTGTCGACGTATCTTCAAAGGCGAGTATTGAATAGAGATAGAATGATGAAAGGAAAGAGGTAGAGGGACAGAGATAAACAATAAAGAAAAATATAAAGAAAAGAAAGAAAGGAGAGGGATAGAGAGATAGAAAATAAAGAAATGAAAGAGGAGATGAGAGAGGGGCAGACAATAAAGATAAAGAAAAGAAAGGAAGGAGAGGATATATTAAAAAAAAAAAAAAAAAAAAAAAAAAAAAAAAAAAAATTACAATAAAATACTATAATTATAAGATAAAAAAATAATTTGAAGGAAAAAAATTAGATAAAAGAAAAATCTAGCGCCCTAATCTAGAGATAGACAATAAAGATAAATATTTTTTTTTTAAAGGAGGAGAGAGGGACATAGAGATAGACAATAAAGAAAGGAGAGGAGAGATAGACAAAGATAAATATAAAGAAAAGAAAGAAAGGAGAGAGATAGACAATAAAGATAAATATAAAGAAAATAGATGAGAGGCCGACAGATAAAAATCTATACACTATACTCCATGAACTTTATGCTAGTTTAAAAGATGGAAAAAATACGGAGAGAGAGAGAGAGAAAGGAGATAGTATGAAAGTACAATATCAAACACCATACAGAGAAACATTTCATCCAGATAATCAAAAAAATGCTTTGGCACCAAACTCAAATACATTTTAAAATAAAATATGCACATGTCTTTCACTGTAAACACAGTTAACTCTGCATTAGTCGAATGTGTTGCTTGAAAAATTGACTAGGAAAGCATAAATAACAACTTTTGCATGGTTTCATATAAATAAAATAAAAAACTTTTGCATGGTTTGGTCCAAAAGATTGATACGACTTGGGGGAAATTCGACTTTTTCGCTATGCAGGGTTAACTGTAATTCACATACAAATCATCAACATATTCCACAACTCCTGCACAATTTAGTGAAGTAAAACCATCACATGGACATCAAGCAAATATATCAAGTGTCAATATCAGAAAAGGTAACAGAATTACAAACACATTCATATTTCACATTGCATTGTTTCTTTAATTTATCAGCTTTCTTCCAGATTGAAATTTCCCAAACGGTTATAAAAAGTAATAAATTGGAATGAAGTTAACTTGAAAAAGAAAAGTAGATCATTTCAGGTTTAATTTGCCAGTAGCGTAATACACGTGTAGACCTTTCCCTTGTCCCTATCCCAACAGTTTAACATGTCGTGATATACTTGCAGGAAATAAAACACCGTTTTAAAAATCATGATTGTAAAACGGTGTTCTTTTAAAATATGTTTGATGAGATGCACAAAGGTTCATGTACCTTTGTATGCTCCTGATCTAGCATGGAGGTCAACAAACGAGGGTAAAATGGGACCAGTAAAAAGGTACCATATTCATTAATAATCACAATCAATGCCACTTTTTGTATTTGTTTTGTTTGAGGAATAACATGACATCTGTATGAAAAACCTTCTTTTCCCCAATTTGATTTTTGGTCCCTGCATCTCATCAACTATTAATTAATCACCATAGATTTGATGGAATAAAAGTAACTGATTGCTTTGAAGTATATGCCCTCTCTCAATATGTCTATAGCTATCTCATTTTAAGATTAAAAACAAATTAAATTGAAAACTGTACTTCTCAAAGTTTCAAAACATTATTAGAAAGGGATGTTTCCTATGGGAAAAATGGGTTCATCTGGCAAATACGTCACAGCTCTATTGTCCACCACGAAGTCGGAGAACGAGATGGAGAGTGGATTCCTTCTGGATGTTGTAGTCTGAGAGAGTGCGGCCATCCTCAAGTTGCTTACCAGCAAAGATGAGACGCTGCTGATCGGGAGGGATGCCTTCTTTGTCCTGGATCTTGGCCTTTACGTTCTCGATGGAATCACTTGGCTCGACCTCGAGTGTGATGGTTTTGCCTGTGAGGGTCTTGACGAAGATCTGCATACCACCACGAAGCCTAAGAACAAGATGAAGTGTGGACTCCTTCTGGATGTTGTAGTCTGAGAGAGTGCGACCATCCTCAAGTTGCTTACCAGCAAAGATAAGACGCTGCTGATCGGGAGGAATGCCTTCTTTGTCCTGGATCTTGGCCTTTACGTTCTCGATGGAGTCACTTGGCTCGACCTCGAGTGTGATGGTCTTGCCTGTGAGGGTTTTGACGAAGATCTGCATACCACCACGAAGCCTGAGAACAAGATGAAGTGTGGACTCCTTCTGGATGTTGTAGTCAGAGAGAGTGCGGCCATCCTCAAGTTGCTTGCCAGCGAAGATGAGACGCTGCTGATCGGGAGGGATGCCTTCTTTGTCCTGGATCTTGGCCTTTACGTTCTCGATGGAGTCACTTGGCTCGACCTCGAGTGTGATGGTCTTGCCTGTGAGGGTTTTGACGAAGATCTGCATACCACCACGGAGCCTGAGAACGAGATGGAGAGTGGACTCCTTCTGGATGTTGTAGTCTGAGAGAGTGCGACCATCCTCAAGTTGCTTGCCAGCAAAGATGAGACGCTGCTGATCGGGAGGGATGCCTTCTTTGTCCTGGATCTTGGCCTTTACGTTCTCGATGGAGTCACTTGGCTCGACCTCGAGTGTGATGGTCTTGCCTGTGAGGGTTTTGACGAAGATCTGCATACCACCACGAAGCCTGAGAACAAGATGAAGTGTGGACTCCTTCTGGATGTTGTAGTCAGAGAGAGTGCGGCCATCCTCAAGTTGCTTGCCAGCGAAGATGAGACGCTGCTGATCGGGAGGGATGCCTTCTTTGTCCTGGATCTTGGCCTTTACGTTCTCGATGGAGTCACTTGGCTCGACCTCGAGTGTGATGGTCTTGCCTGTGAGGGTTTTGACGAAGATCTGCATACCACCACGGAGCCTGAGAACGAGATGGAGAGTGGACTCCTTCTGGATGTTGTAGTCTGAGAGAGTGCGGCCATCCTCAAGTTGCTTGCCAGCGAAGATGAGACGCTGCTGATCGGGAGGGATGCCTTCTTTGTCCTGGATCTTGGCCTTTACGTTCTCGATGGAGTCACTTGGCTCGACCTCGAGTGTGATGGTCTTGCCTGTGAGGGTTTTGACGAAGATCTGCATACCACCACGGAGCCTGAGAACGAGATGGAGAGTGGACTCCTTCTGGATGTTGTAGTCCGAGAGAGTGCGGCCATCCTCAAGTTGCTTGCCAGCGAAGATGAGACGCTGCTGATCGGGAGGGATGCCTTCTTTGTCCTGGATCTTGGCCTTTACGTTCTCGATGGAGTCACTTGGCTCGACCTCGAGTGTGATGGTCTTGCCTGTGAGGGTTTTGACGAAGATCTGCATACCACCACGGAGCCTGAGAACGAGATGGAGAGTGGACTCCTTCTGGATGTTGTAGTCTGAGAGAGTGCGGCCATCCTCAAGTTGCTTGCCAGCGAAGATGAGACGCTGCTGATCGGGAGGGATGCCTTCTTTGTCCTGGATCTTGGCCTTTACGTTCTCGATGGAGTCACTTGGCTCGACCTCGAGTGTGATGGTCTTGCCTGTGAGGGTTTTGACGAAGATCTGCATACCACCACGGAGCCTGAGAACGAGATGGAGAGTGGACTCCTTCTGGATGTTGTAGTCTGAGAGAGTGCGGCCATCCTCAAGTTGCTTGCCAGCGAAGATGAGACGCTGCTGATCGGGAGGGATGCCTTCTTTGTCCTGGATCTTGGCCTTTACGTTCTCGATGGAATCACTTGGCTCGACCTCGAGTGTGATGGTCTTGCCTGTGAGGGTTTTGACGAAGATCTGCATACCACCACGGAGCCTGAGAACGAGATGGAGAGTGGACTCCTTCTGGATGTTGTAGTCTGAGAGAGTGCGACCATCCTCAAGTTGCTTGCCAGCAAAGATGAGACGCTGCTGATCGGGAGGGATGCCTTCTTTGTCCTGGATCTTGGCCTTTACGTTCTCGATGGAGTCACTTGGTTCGACCTCGAGTGTGATGGTCTTGCCTGTGAGGGTCTTGACGAAGATCTGCATACCACCACGAAGCCTGAGAACAAGATGAAGTGTGGACTCCTTCTGGATGTTGTAGTCTGAGAGAGTGCGGCCATCTTCAAGTTGCTTGCCAGCGAAGATGAGACGCTGCTGATCGGGAGGGATGCCTTCTTTGTCCTGGATCTTGGCCTTTACGTTCTCGATGGAGTCACTTGGCTCGACCTCGAGTGTGATGGTCTTGCCGGTGAGGGTCTTGACAAAGATCTGCATGTTGACCTGCAAAGAGTAAAAGAACAAAAATGTTTGGATAGTTCCTGTACAATATTAACTATCAAGTTTTAACCTTATAATTTTAATTTGACACCCAAAAATAATACTGGCACAATCACCCAGTGGTTCCACATATTTTCTAACACAAGGTAAAACAAAGCCAAAGGCAAGTTGATAAAAATTACTTCTTGTGCGGAAAATACAAGAAACACTGAAACCAAACTGAAAACAAACACAAAAATTTACAGAATAATATTTCATCAAAATAACTATTTCTGTCTAGGTCTACTATCTAAAATGATAGGGATCCATTCCCATAAAGTATTACTTACTTCAAATCGATTCCTCAATCTTTCTACAGTCATATGATTATGAATATGATTATGATGTCACATGTACTTTTCATTCAACAAAAATAGTTAGGGTGTGGTCCATCTAGAGTAGGTCTAGTAGTGAGTGCATTTGACAAGGTTCAGCTAGGCCTAGACCTTCTTCTCGTTCATGAGTCAGATATAGACAACATGTATATTTAATGGTCTAGAATTCTAGTATTTTTCCAGATGCGATATTCTACTCAAACATGTAGTAGCATGGCTGGTCATTTCATGCGATTGCGACATCATTCCCATCTGTGCAAGGCATCCCGATTCCAACAAATAAACAACACTCAACTAGACCCCCTCCCTGACCCTAGACTGAAATTTCTGTCTCTTTCCTTCGTTAGCCTCTGATTTGGGTAGGGTCAGAGAGGAGCCGACCCTACCCAAATTAGACTCGGAGGCTAACAAACGAAAGAGACAGAAATTTCGGTCTAACAAAACATTCGGCTTAATTGCAGAATACCCTACCATATCGTTAGTCTTCATATATTAGCCGTAGATATAGATTGTGATTTTATTATTTGTGATAACGGTGATACAGGTATTGAAGATTGTATAATGCAAGTGTTTGAATTCATTTGGTGGATGAAAAGTTGAATTTTACGCGGTTTTGTGCGTCATTGCAGCGCTGAATTTGGTGTGTTTGTCGCTAATTTGTGACCAATTTAGATGGCTTTCCTGATGGTATTTCATGCAAAATGTCTGTTATATTGATAAGCACTGATTCTTGTCCTTACCTTTGTCTTGTTTATTGTCTGTTATAATCATTTAATAGATGAATTACTGGAATTCTAAGCACATTTCAGTAACACAAAATCTCCAGCCCGTACATAGTCCCACACACGTATTTGTTTGTACCTTGTGCCCTCTCTTACACTGCTAGTCTGCTTTCTAAGACCCTATTAGATATTTTAATCAACAAGTAATGTCTCGTTCTAAAAATACAAAAGAAAAATAATAGTGTTGTGCTTTTTTAATCAACAAGTGATGTCTCGTTCTAAAAATGATGTCTCGTTCTAAAAATGATGTCTCGTTCTAAAAATAGATCTACAAAAGAAAAATAATAGTTTTGTGCTTATAATAGTGGAATGTCTCGTGCTAAAAATACAAAAGAAAAAATTAGCTTTGTGCTTAGACTAGACTAGTATTGGTGGGTGGTCGATGGTCGTTGGTCGTTGGCCTCATTTTTAATATTTGGGAGTCCTTGGTCGATGGTCGTTGGTCGTTGGCTTCTTTTTTAATATTTGGGAGTCCTTGGTCGATGGTCGTTGGTCGTTGGCTTCTTTTTTAATATTTGGGAGTCCTTGGTCGATGGTCGTTGGTCGTTGGCTCTTTTAAACAAATATGCCTCACTATTTGGTCGATGTTCGTTGGTCTCTTTTTCTAATATTTGTCAGACTGTTGGTCGATGGTCGTTGGACTCTTCCATTCAATAGTATTTGGTCGATGGTCGTTGGTTTCAATTTCTAATATATTTGTCAGACTGTTGGTCGATGGTCGTTGGAATTTGGCTTCTAGACCTAGACTCTAGTTCTAGACTATATTTCTAATATTTTTCAGACTGTTATAGACTAGTTCTAGATCTAATTCTGTAAAACCGTGGTAGGGTATTCTGCAATTGTTCCAAACATTCAACAACTCGCTCGCTCATCATGATCATGCTCATTCCCAATTCTCTGCCTCTGGCTCTGGCATTTTCCATCAGTAAAACTAAAAAAACTGATTAGCCTAGGGTCTATCTTTATTAATTAATACACATTTAAACAAGTAAACAACCCTTTAAAATATGACAAAAGTGGTCTGGGAATAATGAGTTATCTCATAGATTTAATTTAATTGAAGTGAAGTGAAACTTGCAAGGCATTTTTTTTTGTAAATGTAAGTCGCTAAAAAAGGCTAAAACAAAAGCTTTACTCAGCCTATACAGCTGCTCAATTTCCCTCTTGACTACTTCTTATAATTAAGGTATCTGTTTTAAGTTGATTTTACGATTACTTACTTTCAAAAAGCGGGTTTTCCAGGCAGAAAAAACGAACAAGTTTTCGTCTTGAGCTGAGATACTAGGGTGTAGACGAGAGCACGGAAATCACTATTATTGACGCGGCGATGTTTCTGTATGTGATATATATGGGTACGGTCCTTGCGTTGGCTTGGGATTGGTCATTCTGTGTCACATGCTCTATTTTACACATTGTCATTGGGTAATAAAGATAGGACGTGTATCTATGGCATATGACGTCATTTTGACCCCGCGTCGGAATAATTATGGTGCAACAAAGGATATACAGTGACTCGACAACTCCAAAAGTTATGCAATTTTCTGGAATGATCGCTCCAGAGGCGGCGGAGTCGGAGGCGGGGCTTGGGGGGGGGGGGGGGGCACTGTTTTCAAGTACCCCTGTAGTGCCCCCTTTTCAGTGCCCCTTTTACTATGAAGTGCCCCTTTTTATTTCTAATATATTCTTATACATGCTTCGATCTACCCACCTCTGATAAGTGCCCCCTTAATAACTCACCAATGATTGCCCCCCCTTTCAAATCTGAGAGATGCTCACTTTACTTTAAAAAGTGCCCTTTTCTTTTTGAACCAGTGCCCTTTCCCCTTCTGATAAGTGCCCCTATTTTCACGGTGATAAGTGATGCCTATGAGACCAGTTTTGGAAATTGGGCATTTATTTCCGTTTTTTGCGAATTTAGGGTGAAGTATTGCCATCTAAACCTCTGAAGGCAATATTTATACAATATTGAATGGATATTTTACCCCTATAGTGCCCCTTTTTATTTCTAATATATTCTTATACATGCTTATACCACCTCTGATAAGTGCCCCCTTAATAACTCACCAATGATAATTGCCCCCCCCTTCAAATCTGAGAGGTGCTCACTTTACTTTAAAAAGTGCCCTTTTCTTTTGGAACTGGTCAGTGCCCTTTCCCCTTCTGATAAGTGCCCCTATTTTCATCTTCAGTGATGAGTGATGCCTATGAGACCAGTTTTGGAAATTGGGCATTTATTTCTGTTTTTTGCGAATTTAGGGTGAAGTATTGCCATTTAACCCCTGAAGGCAATATTTATACAATATTGAATGGATATTTTGCACCTAAAACCCTTGAACCCCAATTTTACCATTACTGGTCTTTACCGTTTAGTCTCATCCCTGAAAAGTACCCTTTTTTATTTTAACACGTGCTCCCTTTTTTTCTTTCTAAGAGTGCCCCTCTTGTAATTGCCTCTTTTTCAAATCTGAGAGGTGTCCCTTATATTTTGACAATGCGCAGTGCCTCTTTTCCTATATGCTCTATTTTCATTCTTATAAGTGCCCCTTTTCATCTCCGATAATTAGTGCCCCTTTTCATCTCTGATAAGCCCACTTTTAATTTGAAAAGTGCCCCTTATCCTTTCTTATTACTGCCATTTTACTTCTGATAATTGCCCTTTTTCCTTTGTAATAACTGCCCCTTTTCCATTGTCATACTAGTGCATTTTTTCATCCACTGGTGAGTGCCACTGAAAGGTTCGAGAAATGCCCCCATTTTTACCTCTGGTAATTCCACTTCTTACTTTGACATGTGCTCTGAACAGCAATTGAAAGAAAGAAACAAACATTGAAATCATCCCTGATAATAATCACAATTTATAGGGGTACATTTACCAAAGCCGTAAAATTGTATATTTCCGCTTTGAGGTTTCCCTTTGTCGGGTGCCCCTTTTCCAAGAAAATGCTTTTTTGTTGTTGGTTGGTGCCCCCTCTCTACTTTAAACGATGCTCCGCTGCCCCTGGATCCCTCTGTGAATGGTTTTATGAAAGAATTAATTTCACAATTACAGTTGTGCACGCATTAAGTCCAATCGTGCACCAGACTTAAGTGGCGTAGTTTGCTTTCTTTATTCAAAAATAAATAAATTAAAGGGTATAGGGGGGGGGGTCTATATATCGGTATAGGTCTAGATGTGCCTCCCTATATATAGGTAGAGGTCTAGATGTGGCCCCTTACAACAACAAATAAAACAAGTGGGAGCAGGAGCCCCATTTTAGTAAATGGCTTGACTTTCTTCCTCCAGTCTTTTTCTAAGTTCTTCCCAATTCTTCTTCCTCTTCTACTTCTCTTCTTTTTCACCTTCCTTCTTATCTAGTTCTTCAGGCTTCTTCGATCCTAAATCTAATTCTTTAATTAATTCTTCTATCTGTACTGTTATCATTCGTTATTATTATTGTTTTTATTATTATTATGATCATTATTGGTGGCAGTAGTAGTAGTAGTCTGTACTATTGGTTAACTAGTAGAAAAGCATTATTTATATATCATTATTTCATTATCATAATTATTGTTATTATTATCATTATTATTATCATCATCATCATCATTTATATCATTATTATTATATAGTTATTATCATCTTCCTTTTATTATGATAATTGTCATTGGTATCCATTTTAATTTTCTTCTCTGTTGTAAACCTTCGCTATTTAATGTTTGTAGCGGGCCTGCCTAGCCGCTGAGAGAAGACAAATTATTTTCTATTTAAATCTTCTCTTCTCAATTTGTTTTTACTCATTTTCTTAATACCATGCATGTCAAGGATGTTGATTGTAAATGATATCATGTTAAACATGTTTGTTCATGGTAACTAAAACTCGCCACCTGATCTATATTGACATGAAGTAATTTTAATCAAAGTATGGTAGAAGAGGTGAGCGGTTGTTGTGAAATGGAGTAAACATATAACAAACAAGAGAAAGACATAGGTTTTTGGACAAAGATTTTAGGTTCAAACTTCAAAACAATATTTATTCAATTATCACACCATTTGCAACATTCGCCACTGCCACTGTTCTTATACGTTATGCTAAATAATCAGATATTTAATTAAATCTGACCAATATTTCATCAGCACTGGAGTGGGGAAGGTCTGTGCTGGGAAAGTTCTATCCCTGCTGATTTCGGTTTCGAAAGTTAGGAAATTGATGATGCTGTTGTTCTTTTGGGGTTTATAAGGCTGTCCAATCAGGGAGATGAGCTCCCTGGTCCAATCTGAAAAGATTATTTCCGCCTGGTTATACTTTTTTCGAGTTATTTATCAGTGATCATTAGATGGCGCTGTTTCATTTCCTCTGGCTCATAAGCAGGCCGGAAAGATTATTTCTCTTATTTAAAGGTACTATGTCCCATTTGCAGGCCAAAAAAATGAAAAGGTTAAATTCCAACGGCATATGAAAGATAATACTACTTTACAACTTGCCTGAAAAAAGAGGGGGCTTGAAAATGTCTTTAAATGGGAAAATAACGCCTAGCCTACTATAGTTGTCGAATCGACTTAACGGAATAGTAGAGCTCTGTTTTCAGACCGCAAATGCCTTCAAAGTGCATTGTTATTGCTCTTATTCTTATTTATGACATTTCTAGTGTCCTTTAGACCCCAACATATGTGAAATTTAGCCAATACGAGCATTCCAATTCAGCTCCTCTTAAAAAAACACGGTGACGGTTAATTAATTATTTAATTAAATATAACAATACATGGGCTGGCTGGTTGTGCGTAATATAAGCAACACGAAAATGCCAACAAAAAAGCCAACATCGGCATTGGATGAAATTCGACGTAAAAGGCGTTATTTCGTTTTTTCAACGGTTTTTTTTTCTTCAAATTTTTCAAAATACCTTATATTTTGTGGTGATACACAAGTATTAGAAATCGTTATATTTCAGCCGTCTCTGAACCGATTTTGATTAAACAAAGATGATTTTGTCATTTAAATATTATGTTCTTTTAAATTTGACACTCAGTTTTTCACTATCTCACACAAAAATTATTTTGTGTAGCACCCTCTGCAACAGAACTCAACTTTTCCTTTAAGTGCTACCAAGTCAATAAGTAATAGTCTGATTTTCAGACTATGGTACCCAGGCGCGTACGCAGGGGGGGGGGGGGGGGGGGGGGGGGGGGGGGGGGGGGGGGGGGTTAACCCCCCTTTAGTTTTTTTATGTATATGTTTTGTGTATGGTTTTTTGTGAAAAAATTATACCAATGGCTGACCTAAAAAAAGGTGACCTTACCCCCTCCCCCCCAACGGAACAAAATGTCAAATTTTCAAATTTCGAGACAAAAAAAAAAAAAAAAAGTTCCCCCCCCCCCCCCACTGAGCGACTTTTCGGCCGGCGGGAGCAAATTTTTCGGGCCCGATTTTAACCCCCCCCCCTTTAAAAAATCCTGCGTACGCCACTGATTGTACTGAATGGTCGTACGTTTTGTGCTGCGCATAGATTCAGTCAGTTTAATAATTGGCCATTACAAGAAGTCGGTTATTGGTGTAGCCAAATGCTCATACCTTTACAGCTCAGTTTATGTATATACCAAAGAAGAAAAAAAGCCAGTCAGTCACCCCGGTCAGTCACTTGACTCAATAGTCATAAGCTTTACATTTTACTAATACAAAGCTGTGAGAAAAACAGGAGGCATTTCTCATTTTCAAAGAATTTTGAAGGGCAATTTCCCTCAGACTCCTATTGCACCCTGCTTTGTTATGGGATACTTACTCATACAATCAGTATTTTGTTTCAAACGTGATAGCCCAAGAAAGGTTCAATATCAGAATAGAGGCATGCCATGTGCAGGGGCAGCGAAGTGACTTCCAAAGTGTGGGGTGGGGTGGGGGTTGGGGGCACCAACAAAAAAGGGCAACTACAAAGGAAAATCTCAATGCGAAAATATACAATTTTAGACATTGGTGTATACCCCTACCTTGTGATTACATTATCAGGGATGATTTCAGTTTTTATTTCTCTTTATACATCATACAATACATTGCGTAAGCATCATACTATGAACATTTATTTGCGAGCGAGCGAGTATTTTTTTTTAAAGATTTGCAAGGTCGCAGTGCGAAAAATTATATCTTATAAAGAGAGAAAAAACAATCCTGATGGGGTTATAAGCACATTCTCATAACGGAAGACTGAACAGACCTTTGATAAGTAACATTATTCTATCATCTATAGATGCGATCGAGCTTAGGGGGAAAAGTCTTTTGGTCGCTTTAAATTAGGGGCACGTGTAATGAGAGGAAAATAGGACGCTTATCGACAGGGATAATACACTTATTAAACAAGAAAAGGATTTTGATGGT